CCCAATGACATGGTATGAAATCAAACTTGATTCTTAGGTCGAAGAGGTGTCTTGACCTATGATCACGTCTTGCGCCCCCAAGTTCTTGGTGACGTGAATTCCTTTCGATAATTCTATCATCGTGGAACTCAGGAATCACGAGTGTGCCTTACACTTCGTGCGGGTTTCAATTCCTTCAAGAAGCATCCGTAAGTTTGGACGCCCCATGATTTCTTCATGAGTAAACTCTTAAATGAGTTTGAGTAATTAAGGTTCCGGATGCTCCTGTATCCAGTAAGCAACAGAGTGAACGGTTTTTGTTTCCCTTTCTCGTTGTTAAATCTAAATAGACGATAGTTTCGAGTCTCTTGTCTTGCGACGTTGATGAGTTGATTGGCATGGACGAAGTAACGATGCTGACAGATCGTAGTGTCTAGTTGAGTAGTTGCTAGGCAATTATCTAATTTGCCGAGACTTCGTTAGTTGCAACAAATCTTGTTTACTATTTAGTGATTTATCTTCATCACTTGGTTGTGAAATCGGAACATGGTTCCGTTGAGTCATCATACTGGCACTAATCCTCAGACGAGATCTCTCCGTCCGAATTATTGAAGTCGAATTCGGCATGCGCCTTGTCGACAGCAGCATCTTCTTATCCATCATGTTGATGATCCAACAGAGGAGTCGTCCTTCGTTGTCGGAGTTGTCTGTCTTGCGCTTGGCAACATGGTTGCATTCGCTTTTCTTCTTGTGATCAGCCTTGACCGCAGCGTTGGAAACCTTCTTATGAGGACAGAGGAGTTCTTCTTGGTGTAAGGTCTTGGCGTCGCGGCTTGGTTTTCCAAGTTCTTGTCTTGTGTACGCTGGCTTGTTATCGTTGTCAGACGAGGACTGAGACTGTGGCCCTTGAGCTTCTTCAAGTCATGCAGTCAGCGTGTTTGTGAGTTCTGGACTCGTGTAGTCGCACCATTTTTCTTCGTTCTTGGAAGAAGTGGTCTTGTTGCGAGTAGACTTGTACTTCTTGCTGTTGTTCTTCTTCGTAGGAGCTTGCTTGCATCACCGCCCTTGTCAAGTCTTCGGAGGTTCCATGCGTTCGCAGAATCCAATAGTTCTCCGATAGGAGCTGAGAAGGATCGAAGTCGTGTTCGTCCATTTTTCATCCACGAGCGTGGAATTCCATGACAAACAATGTCAATGACTTCGTCATGGTTTCATTAGTTTGTTGGGTCCAAAGGTGGTAGACGAGTAATGTTCATCGGTGTTCATCTCGACTGAGGTTGTTGACATAAGCCCGAGTAAACATATCAGCAGGCTTACGCATCTGCGCGCATGAACGTTTTCTGCTTTTCAAGAGCCTTGTGAAGGACAGAACGCTCGATACAGGCATTTATTCGCAACGTAATGTTTAGCGTCTGTCCAAGAGCAGGCTGAGCTGCTCCATTCCAGCAGCACTGGAAACGTGCTTGGAAAGTGGCTCGTCTTCACGCCACGTATGTCGCGTGGAGGAATCGCGTTGACTGAAATCTGGCGCAAGGCATTCAAACGTATTTCACGGTGCCTGCCAAGCTAGATTCTGTAACTGCTTTTTGCAGAGCTAGAAGTCATCTCCTTGAGGAGGTTATGTTTGTCGTCAGCGTAGCAATGGCGAGCCCACGAAAGACCTTCTCCATACGTCTCAGCCCATATTGATGGTCTGACGTGGTTCTCAGATCCATTAATTGATTTGGACCTTGAAGGAGTACTTTGCACTGTTAGCATCTGCTGGAATAGTGCGAAGTTTGAGGTGGTGGAGCGAGATCGTCGATTTCGCATCCATCATCGAGGTCGATGAGAGGGAAGGATTGGTTTGTTACGCAGCTTAGACTCGAACTGGTGTTGCGTCTTTGGCAATCTTCATGGTGAGGAATAGGTTGAGGTAGCTGAAAGCTATTGTGTTTGTTAACAAAATGCACACGCTAAAAGCTTGTGTAAAGATCTTTCGAGTGTTTTGAGTTTGAGAGAATGAAAGTTATGAGAGGATAGAAAGCTATGAAAACTAATCAACGAGAGAGATCTACAACCAAAGGATCGTGAATCTGAACTCCCGCGGGAGACTGTAGAGTGTGATAGAGTAGGTTGTCGGTACAATCCACTCACTCCACGATCCAAAAACGGAACGCGTGGACGTGGAAGATTCGTCTAGCATTTATCTAGTGGCGTGGAAGTACTCCACGCTGGCTAAATATCTAGAGCGATGTTTCATCATCAACCTAGTATAACTAGAGCGGTCATTGAGAACCCTTTCTCAATGATTATTCACGAGAGACTCAGTCATGAGTCGAACTCAAACCCTATCTAGGATCGAGTCGCGAATAAGGCTAAGAGCCGTGTATTGCAGGAATACAGCATACTGCCCCTTCATTCAGAACAGTATGTCGAAATCAAGATGGCTAGAGATAAAGAGAGTTATCAAGCTGTGCAATAACTTGAAGGTTCCCAAGAAAGGTGAGCCTGACTATGATCCAGCTTACAAGTTTGACTTCATCTACAACGTGTTGATCCATAACTGCAATTCAATTACCAAGGAAGCTGGATTGGACTTGGCGGCAGATGAGACGTCTTGGCCATTTGGTGGTTGGGGAGAAGTCCAAAGTGGTATTGTTGCTTTAATTCTCAACAAGCCTCACATCCACAAAGGAGGACAGATTGTCTTGGCAGTGGACGTTGACAGAATCCGTCCTAGAGCTTATGTTCACCGTCACAAGCTACACAAAAAGCCTGAAGACTGGGATTGTACCGCCGGTCAACTAGAAGCACGGAACATCTTGGATCAGTTGTACTCATTGACTATTGGCTACGAGATTGGTGTCAACAACAGCCCTCTCAAGGTCTTTACTGATTTACCACATATCACTTGGGACAACCACTTTTCAGGGGACAATGTCCTACAGTATGCCGGCACACAAGGGTTTGGAATGACAATGACATGCCGACGAGACAGATTGCCCAAAGCAGTGCCCAACCAGTACTTCCACAAAGAGAAAACAGTGGTCAACGGCAAGTCAAGAGCAGCAAGGTTTGAACGTCCTATTGTTCTGACAAAATCCATCTCAAGCTCTTCAACCATCGTTCATTGCTCTTTCCAGTCTACATCATCGTGCAACATCTCTACAGTAAATGCGCTCAACCAGTGTGGATTGTATGCACACACCAAGGAACGTGGCAGAGGTTCCTACAAGAGACAATGGGCAATTGAAATGAATGAAGCAAGGGAGCTCTATTTAAAGACATATGGTGGTGTGGACCGATTAGATCACATGATACAGAACTGTAACCTCTCGTACCGGTAAGCTCTCTTCAATGTCATTGCTGCGTGGGTATTGCTCTTTTTCCATTATCTCATTCGTTCTCCCTTTTTGTGCAAAGGTCGTGGAAGTACTGGCATGCCCCCATGCTCCATGCTAAGGCAATGGTTGTTGTTGTCGCGTATGACATGTATCTTGAATGTTCTGAAGGCAACATCAAGGCCGACTGGAAAGTCAACAAGCCTGTGGATTTCTGGCGATTCAGGGAAAAGCTGGCCAAGCAGATGTGTTCGTACAGTCCATGCAACCGAAAATACCCTGGGGATCAATATTTCCGATCTGCCACAAAGCAATCCATCGCAAAGAGGAAATCACCCCCACGATCTGCCACAAAGCGCAAGAGAGCAACCACTCCTGATTCCACTGCTTCCACTCTAACAGCACAAGATCTTCTCGACAACAAAGGCAGATTGTGTGGCCGACTGGATGGCCTTTGCTCTCATATGGAAACTGTACAGAGACTCCCTAAACAGAGAACAAAGGTGTGTGTTGTCTGTGGCGAGAACTGTTCTCACGTCTGCGTCAAGTGCAACAGAGCTATGCATTTCAGCGAGATGCAAAAGAGGAAGGCCAAAGATCCTGTGGTTGATGACAGCATCTCTTGCTTTGTTCGTTGGCATGACACCTCATTTTTTGGCTTGGCAAAAGAAGATTGGGAGCTTCGAGGAATCCACAAGAGAGATTGGTCCTTTCCAACCAAGCAATCTCGCGAGAAACATGCAGAGGCAATGATCGATCTCCACAATGATGCCTTGAAGCAATCCAAGATCTCCGACTCTCCTCCTTCCACTACCAGCACTGCGCCTGCTGCTACCCTCAACAACAGAGCTTCCTTGGTGGCTAACAAGCCAAGCGACAATACGACGGTGGCGGCGGCGGCTAACAAGCCAAGCGACAATACGACCGACGACGACGACTCTGAGAATGATGAGTTTGCTGATCGTCCGAGGCCTGGCTATCGAGCCATGTAGCGTTTTTTCGTGGTTGTGGTTGGGTGTTGCATGAATGAATTACTGACAGCATCATCATTGTGATGTTGTCAGAGCCAATCAAGAGATCGGATACTAATGCCTAGGCAGCATGCTGCCCATGCCTCCAATTCTGTCCTCTTGGCTTCTTGTCTCAAAAGACGATTGTGGGAACATTTTCTTGCTGTTGTTGTTGTTGGAAGCGCTGCAGTCGACGACGGCCGTTCGTTTGTCGATCGAACAAGCTGCTACAACGGCCGGCCGGCCGTCAACGAGATGAGTGAGTGGTTGTTAGCTGCCGACAATGGCGCTGTGGAGTGGTTGACGACGACGACGGCCGTTGACAACAAGAGATGAGTGGTTGTGGACTGTGGGTTTGTTTGTGTTGTCGACAACAACAGATGAGTCAGTTTGTGTAGAAAGAGTACCAGCTGCTGCTGTAGATGATGTAGCGGAATAAAGAACAATCTATTGAAACAGCTATTATGTGGCACCATCTGGTTTGGCTATTCTTTCTACTGCTCCAGTGTACCAGGTTGCTCCTGTCTACAAAATAGTGGGCTCACTTTTTACCAGCTATTCCATTGCCGGTACTGGAGGCCATGCAGGCTACATCACTGCGTCGAATGGAAAGCGAAGCAACATCGTAATCTGTCCGCCCCTTTCCTCGGGTTTCACTAAGAGTACCATACTCAACGGAAATAATTTACTCCATTTACCTAGTTAAAATTTGAATCGCATTATGAACAGTGGTTCTGCAGGCGGAAAGCTTCTTTTTCGTGGATTATAGTGGACTACTTAACCGACACAGTGTCAATCTCGAAAAGACGTTGAAACTTTCCTTCAGCGGATTTATTTACTATAGAGAAAACTGTACAGAGACTGGTTCAAATCTCAAGATCAAAGAAAAGTCGTTGGAATTTGCATCAGTCGTGTTTCAGCGGTAAACAGTACTCAAAGTCGGTCAACAACAACAATGTCGACCATGGTGCTTCTGCTGCGCCGCTGTTACTGTCTCCTCGAAAAGGGATTGGACAGATTACATACAAATGACGTCCCTGCCTCTTGTCGGTCTCGAATGTCGGCTGCGATCTTGTCGCTCTTCCAGGCCTTCGGCCTTCCTTCTTTCGCGCCTCGATCTGGCCTCCATCCTCGCCCTAAGCTCCTCGTTAAATCGTGCTCCTCGGCTTCGCCTCGGAAACACGATTGAACTCGAATCTTCAATTTGCACGAACGTTTTTATACAAGATCTCGTCAAGAGAAACCTACGAACAAGCATGTATTTCAGGCACCGCCGTCGAGTTCACATGGTACAAGAAGCTTGGAGAGGAGAACAAGGGAAGTGGCAAGAAGACAGCAACTGTGTTTCAAACAGTCGACATCTGATTTACCAAGAAGGAGAAGTGCCTTGGACCCCGCCTGAGTTCATCATATCAGTGATTTTACATGCAGGAAAACGCAGATCTGCACAGCGGTTGGTTGTGAAAAGCTACTTTCTGGCTAAGGCAGCAATTGAGGAGGAAATGAACTAATGTAAACTTGTTGAGATTTGCGTATTGATGACTGCTGTCCCGTTCAAGGACCGTTCCAACTCTAGAATCCGCATTCATTCATGACTTCTTCGTATTCATAACCGATTCCACTTCGTGTGTTGCATTGAAAGTTCAGCTCGAGTGAAACAATGTAATGGAACCAATGCGTTGGAAGGTACAAAACGTCCCCTGGCTGAAAGCGTAGTAGTTAAAAAGAAAGACAAAAGTCAAAAATTGACGCAAAGCAGCAACTTCTTCTCTGTTGTGTTGTCGTTTGGTTTCTTACCTGCAAGATCACTTCGTTAACATTGGCTTGGGCGAATTGTGGGAATTTCTCCAAATCAGGGTTTGTGTAGTCCACCTGAGAATGACGCGCAGATGGGTGACCATTGGGAAACAATGACAGCGGTTCGCCTAAAAAGTAGTGCGGCGGTTCACACCATACGAAGCAAATCAGTTAGTTCAACTGTGCCACAAATAATTTTCTTTTCCAAAAGGGATCCAATAGAATCGTTTTCACAAAACACAAAACTTACATTGATCCGGATGTGAAAGAATGTATCTTCGACTCCCTCCCAGCAGTACAATGGCATTTCGACTCCCGTCAAAATGGTTCTCAGCAATCACCCCTTTCATTCCGAACCGACAATGAATTCCCTTTTGTTGCGATCCCTTGGTCAAATACAGATTGTTGACGGGTTGGAAATATGGCAATTCATCAAACAGATACTCCGACGATCCTTTATCACAAGATCCGTCAGGTCCAGTCAAACCACATCCAATCAATCGAAAGTACCAATGTTCTTCATCGGGTCCCGCTACTTCTTCTTCCTCGTTACTGTTGGATTCCTCTTGTTTTGGCTTATGTTTTTCTTCTCCCGGATGATGAATGGCAGGTGCGGTAATGTTGGCCTTTGTGAGCCACTCTTCGTATGTCATGCGCAACATTTCCGTGGGAGGTTTCCAATCTTTGGGCATTTTATTCCACATGCGACCGTGTTTGCGGGCTTGTCGCTTGACATCCTGTGCGGGCAAGGAGTACATGAAATGATTGTTGGTACTGTATTCGGCGCGATGCTTCACGCCTTTCAAGAGGTCGTTCATGAATCCGGGATACGTCCATCGTTCCACCGTGCGGGCCACTTCGGGATCATTTTGCATGATGAACGGGACTTCCTTGTTTCGATAATTCATGGCCTTGTCAAAGTCTTTGGCATAATCGAATACACAAAGTCCTTGGTAAATGACATCCGGTATTTCCACATTGTCGGGAGACCAATTATCCAACACGGTCATAATGGGCCACGCGTAAGGGTATCCTGGAACGGGATCGTCGGGACAATTGTAAATGTCGTACACTTCGTCTTTGCGCAATTCTGCTTCGGATTTTTCTTCTTCAATTTGTTCCTCTCCTTCTTCCTCCTCTTCTGCTTCTTCTTCTTCACCCCCATTATTATTTCCAAAGTTGCGATGCCGTTGCTGGTGCAAACTGCCGTGACTTTCATGGGAAATAATGGGTACCACACTATAGTCGGACGCTAATTGATTTTCTCGCAATTGTTGTACGTACGTCAAGGAGCGTTCAAAGTCTTTGGGCAACAATTCGTCGTAATGCTTGCGCAATCGAGCGTAGCGATCGGATCGATCTCCTACCAAATCGTGACTTTCTTCCAACGGATGAATGTGGTTTTTGGGAATGGGCTTTAAATCGGCCATGGGACTCTTGCCTTCTTTGTGTCGACGACCCTTGTCGTGTTGGCGTTGCGTGTGATCGTCGTCAGCTGGGTTGCTGCCATAATGATAGTTAACATTGTCACTACTTCCACTAGCGTTCAACCAGATTTTGGCAAATATCCAATAGGCACATCCAATCAAAATGAAAAATCCCAACACCAGTGCCATCCAATCTTCCACTATTTGACTGGGGCGACTCTTGACACGCTTTTTTCGTCGTCGTTGTTGTTGGCGAGTGGGCATTGGTGACGACAAACCGTTGGGGACAACAACAGGATGCCCATTGGTGGTGGCGGCTCCAACGCGTTTGTGCATTATATTTCTTTCTTTCTTTCGTTCTTCTTGATAGACTAATTAAAACAATGGCAGTGGTACCGTGGAGACTATCTATCTATCTAGCTAGTAGTAGTAGTAGTCGGTCCAATGCTGCTTTGATCTTGGGCTCAATCGAAGCAGAGACAGATTATTGCTGGTGCAGAATGCGGAAGACCATGGCCATTGTTCGCATTTGCCCGCATTGGCAAAAAGACACAGAAACGACCGTTAGGAGCACCTTTTTGGGAAGCGCCTGACAGGTGCTGCTGCCAATGATTTTGACTCCCGTGGCTTTGGGAAGGTACCGTGGTTCGTGGTACGATACTCTAGTACTCGGTATTTCGGAACAACTCGAGTGAGGTAACTGGACGATGAGTTTCAATAACAGGAGCTGGCCACGATAACAAATGACAGCCTAGCTAGCTAGAGCAGAGCTTATCAAGATGCTGGATGGAAAGCGTTGTGCCGCTCCTGTCAGATCAGTTTGCTGATACTTTCCTCTATTCTTGGATGGTTCCTCGCAGCCACAACCCTACATCCATATGGCGCTCACCCAAAGCTTGCCTCCACCCAGAACGCCAGACTCGCAGTGTTTCAGAGGCTCGCTAGTACATGTAGTAACGAAAGTAAAACGACGAAACAACAGAATGTCGAGGAGAAAAGAAATCTGCCTACCAGTAAAGCAAACACTTGAATTCGCTACGGAATGAGACCAGGTGCCCGCTCAACGAAACAAAAAAGTTCAGATCATTGAAACAAGCAGCCAACCAAGAACAAGAGGAGATTGTGATGAAGCCACGGAGCTTGGGAGAGAGTGGCTCTGGAAGCAAAAGGAAAAGAACCTGCAAAAGAACCTGCCATACCTCAGCTTCGTGTCATGTTCTCTCCATGGGATCAGCGAAAACATCATACACAAGTCGCTTTAAATCTCACAGCATCATGATGGCGGCACTGACAAACATCAGGAGGTAGTTCGAGCTAAGCCCGCTTCATCAAATTTGGAAGCGAGGGGTTCTGTATTCCAAGTTGGTTGATCAACCAGGCTAAGGGGCAAACGATGGATGCCATTTCACATCTCACCTGAGGTTCTAATCGGAGAATGGGGCAACCCCAGATTGATAAGGAACAGGACGCATTGACATTTATTTTACAGATAAAGGGGAAGTTGAGAAGACGACGCATGCAAAGCGAGAACCTACCCTTGAAAAGAAATCCAAACTTTCTAGGGTCTAGTAGGTCAACGTTGCTACTAGCTTCTACCGGGCTGCACTAGCTAGTGTCATCGTTGCGAGTTAGTGTGGAACAATAGAAGCGAATAAAGACGATCCCAACCGTTCGGTGGCTAGTAGCTTTGGACCCTGCAACGAATTCATCTCCTGCCTCCAAAGACCGCAAAGATCCTTTTAACTCGCTCACGCGAAAGAAGAATGTTTCTTGAGTGGCCGCCTTTCTCATTGAAGTGAAATTGGCATCACAGCATGGTGGAAATAGGCCTGAAGCGAACCCCGACCTGACTGCAGCACCCGTATCCATGGTCGTGGGGGTACTCTAGTACCTGGTAGCTGCAAGGGAGCGAATGGACCATTCCCCATTGGCAGGTGCATGCTGCAGACAACTCAGACAACTGCACAAATGAATGCTTAGATCGGTGAACACAAGAGTCCCACGTGCTATGCTACTGGTTGCATTGGCGAAGGATAGTTTTGCATATGGATAGTTGTTCCAGAGATTTGAGTGCGATGCATGTACCAGCCAACGGCACTGGTACCTAGATATCCAGAAGACGTCCCCAACCCAACTACTTGATCTGCTCTGGTATGCGTGAATCCTCTCGGAAGCAGAGCTGAAGCATGTGCAACGGTTGGATTTCCCCGCTGAAGTCGTGACGACACAAGAGGACTGTACCGCTACGGAGTACGGTAAGCTCATGCGCCGCTGTCCGTTGATCGTGCCAAATCTTCGTCTTGGCCCAAAGTTTGCTTCCGTCATTGTGCCATCATCCAAATTTGATCTGCTGATACTTTCTCAACACGTGCTCAAGGATGAATTTCACCTCGCTCAGCTCGTGTGCGAAAAGGGGTGCAACACGAAACTTGCGACATTTCCTGGAACTTTCGCAGAGAATGCAGGTTCTCTGTTCTCCCTGGTGGCTGAACTGTCCCGGAGCTGTGCCGTACCAGGTAAAAACCACCTTTGGAGGTTTGAAATAGGCAAGGATACAGTGTATGATGAGCATGCGGAGCTTATGCTGCTACCAATCTCTTGATTATCCATCTGGATACCCCAACCATTCCTCTGATCTGCTTCCATTGGTGAGGTCATACCGGTACTGTTAGGTATAAATAAACACACACATATGTCACAAAAGATAATATTGCCGCCGAATTGATGAAGTCGTTGAGCTACTGTACTGATCTTTTATCAAAATAGTCAGAGACGATGTCATATATATTTGTTACCATTTGCTTCAATACCAGCAAGTATTTGGGTAGATACCAGCATAACCATTGCGGGTTAATACCACACAGATTCTCTGGATGTTAGGCAGAATATCCACAGTCTACCTGGGATGGAGCTGCACGTGCTTCATCATTCCCGTCACCCTGCTAATCAAGAGTGTCCAGTGGACATGTTATATATTGGATATTCAAGCTGTTGCACCCCTTCGAAAGTGGAGCAAGGCGAGTTCCAGGGAAATTTCTAAGTACTTGTCACATTCCCATCTGTACCATTTGTCCTTGCCATACTTTGTTAGATATCGCGCTATGTAATCTAGTGGTGGGTACGCGGTAGCGCCCTCAACAGGTGCAGCGCTACCAAAAATTAACGCTTGGAAAGCGTGGCAGAGAAACTTGCATTTCCCCCATCGAGTTAGCTAATGCAGTAGCTACCGGAATAGCTACTCCAGGACACGGTGCTTTGGCATTTGGAGAGAAACGCTACAAATCCATCAGCACGAGAGGAAAGATAAGCAGTAGCTGCGGAAGGTTGAGTCTTCCGTCGAGACAGAGGCCTCATTCTTTCTTGGGGCGACAACCCATCAAGTATTGGTTGCACTGAGGAAAGAAAGAGAGGAGATCAACAATGGTGAAACTGATTGACTTTGCGGTGGTGACCATCTTTGCCCGCGAGGTGTTGGAAGGTTCCCTCATCATTGGCGAATTCCGAACCATTATCTTGCGGGCTGGAGGGTCTCTGACTGAAGAAGAGCAGAATAACTTGTTACGGGCCATCAATGTGGCAACTGTGATTGCGACGATTGTGGCCGTGATTCTGTGCGCGGCCGTTGCGATTCCTCTCGCAGTCTTGTCCATGGACTTTGACTCCAGAACGTCCAGCATCATTGAGGGTGTTTCCAAGCTGGTGGCGGCAGTCTGCATCCTTCAGCTGTCACTTAAGCTTCCCAAGTGGCTGGGGATCTATCAAAGCCACAAAACTCAAATATCCGATGAAGAAAACGAATTCGATCTAACAATCAACAGCATTCGCTTCAACGTGGCTTGGAACATTTGGAGGGAAGTGGGAGAGTGTGGAGTCTTTCTCATTCCCTTCTTCTTGAATGGCGAAGAAGCCATTGCCATTCCACTAAGTGCTGTTATCGGATGCGTCGTGGGAGGTTTGGCTGGTTGGGGGATCTACTACGCCAATGGGAGAATGAAAAACAAACTATCTCTGGCCATCTTTTCGGCTGGATTGCTTCACTTGCTATCCACTGGTCTCTTCACCAGTGGTTGCCACAAGTTCGAAATGGTATTCGGATCTACCCCAGTGGTTTGGCAGTTGGAAGGCGACTTTTGGAGCATTGATCGGTTACCCATGACTATCATCAAGCCCTTTGGCTACAGTGATACTAGAACCGTACTGCAAATGTTATGCTTCTGGTCCTGGATGATCTTTGGGTTGCTGCTTCACTACCGCAAGTGGCTCATCACAAAGCGTGTGAGAGCTGAGCATGCAGCCAAAAACTCCCCAGCTCCTTCCACCGCTGAAGAGGGAGCTGACAGCGACTGCGATGACGAAGGAAGCGGTGATAGCTTACCTGTGATTGTTGAGGAGAAAACCGCTCCTGAAATGATTGCTTACGCTGTATGATCACTCGACACGATCACTTCCAGCCATGACGTTTGGCTCTGTACACAATAAGGCACTCCTTTTACATAGAATATATTAAACCATACAAACTTTTAAGTTGCTTTTTACTCATTGCTACCTTGGCCTTTTACTAGAATTCAATAATGCACCATCCGCCGGGTACGGTCAAGTGAGTACATGTACCGGTAGTGCGTAGTGGTCAATGTGATGATGGCCTGCTGACCAACCCTACGAGTTTATTACCGCTGGCCGGCTCAAAGGTGCTCTCCGTCTTCTTTCCTCGAAGAACATTCAGCCCACCCCTCAGCACTTGCCCAGTCCACGGTTGTATCACAATTTCTATAGCTGATGGAAATGAATCACCCACATGTATCTCTGATAGCTAGCAAGCCTACTTATTCTTGCACATGTACACCGCGTCACTGGTAAGCCTGGTTTGGTGTGCTCCTGGAGTTACGCAATGTGAGCCCATACCGGCCGGCACGGTAGGCTATTGACGCCTAAGGGTTGTGAGCCATGAAACTATTGAAGAGGCCTCCGCTTCTTTGCTTTGCGCAGCAGCCTCATACAATTAAAGTTGGATTTACCTACGGTACCGGAACCCGGAACAACTCAACAACTCTTTCTAATTATGATGAAATGTACACTACGAAATTCTAACTTTGCCAATGGTCGAGGAGTTGGTCCTCCTTGGTGCCGGAGCCAACCAAAGGCCTACTGGCCAAATAAATCAAAACAAGTGCAGGATCCTTGGCCTGAGGTGTTTCTTTCTCGAGCCTTCAAAAAGGGCAGCACTGGATAAAGTGTAAGCGTGTGTTGGTGTAATGGGCCGGGATAAGATACACTACTGAATCGAATCATGTTTCTGGCTGGCTCCCTGAACCGCAATGGTCGTTTGCCACCAGCCACCTAAAAGCGCAATATGCAAGGTTTCTGTGCATGTGACTGCTCTCGCATCGTCAAATGTAACAAATCAAATCCGCTGGTGGAAACAGCTTGCCAAGCTACTCTTCCATGGATGCCTTCTTCTCTGCAAGCTGCTTTTGAGCCTTGACACGGTCCGAAAAATCCAAGGGATCCATTCGCCACGAAACACCGACCAACCAGGTAGGCACCATCTTGAGACTGTCGCACATGGTCAAATCCAACGTACGGAGACGGGGGAGGTTCTCCAGAGTGACAGGCACGGACTCCAGATTGGAACAAGCCCGCAAGTTCAAATGCACAAGTCTCTTGCAGTCGCCAATTCCATCAGGGATCACAGTCAAAGATTTGCACTTGGTAAGGTTCAGGTCTTCCAGTTCGGACCAGTTTCCAATGCTCTCCGGGAGACGCTTCAACGAGGTGCATTTGGAAAACACCACGTCCACAAGATTGGTGCAGAATCCAATAGACTCTGGCAGATCTGAAAATTGTTTGCATGCCCTCAGATGCAATGTGGTAAGCTTCTTCAGCTGACCAACAGACTCGGGGAGAGTTCGAAGTGCTTTGCAACTGTCCAAGTTGAGTTCCTCCAAGCTTCTGAGCTTGCCGAGAGATTCAGGAAGGGCCTTGAGTGCCTTGTTCGTAACTCCATTTGACCCTCCAAATGTCAACTTTTTCAAGCTAGATTGTTCAAAAGGGGAGCAAGAGTGAACATCACATTTGTGGGTACCTTGTTCGCAAACACACAAACATGAATAGGCTATCCAAACAAACGATGCACTCACTTGGTTAGATTTCCAATCTCCTCGGGAAGAGACGCCACCAAGGGCGAGTCGTATAGGTTTAACTGCAGAGGAAGGAACCCAAGTCGGTCAGTGTTGATCTGTCATCGAATCTTGGGCTGATATCAAGTTGGATACCGGTAGCTGCTTGACTCCATTTTCATAGCTTACCTCAGTCAGGTTCGTCAGTGTACCTAGCGATGGCGCTATGGCACAAAGCTTCTCGCAACGAGAGAGCAAAAGACGCCGCAAGTTGTGCGGCATGGACAAGACAGATGCATCAAATTCTGTAATGTATCGACTCTTGTGCAAGTCGAGCACTGCTAACGCCGGGTACTTGGTCAGGTCCGGGACTTGATCGAAGCGATCATCGTCTCGACAGCACCGAGTGCTCAAAGAAACCACTTCGCCGGAAGATCGACTGACCATGAGGGTAACTCCCTTCAAGCTTCCCTCTCCTACAAGCACCCAATCACTCTGGCTAGCATGCCCATTGTTGTTGACTTTTATTGCTCCAGCAGGGTCCGTCATTCTATTTTTGGCCTCCAACGGAAACGAGAACTTTCGGCTCAGAAACCAGAAGCAACGTCCAAGTCGACAAGAATCTGAGAGGCGTCGATACCTCAAGGCTGCGCTATTGTGTCCTTGTAGCCGTTGCTATGGTACGATACTGATGGATGGAGAGAGGGAAGAAGAATCTGCTTCAAGAGATGATGCCAGAAAGACGATGATGTGATGACATGAGATTGAGATGAGGAGAGGAGAGAACGACGCAATTGTGAGGTCAATCACTTGTGAGAGCTTCTTCGTCTCCCAAAGAAAGAAGCACCGAGGCATTTCACGCCGCTGTTGCATTGAAAGGGGTGAGAGCTGTCAGTCTCGGATACCATTTCGCATTCGGTTGCCCGGCTTGACGGCCCACGAATCAGTTTGAGTCCAGTCACGGTTCTGGAATGACGTCACTAATGATTCTTCAATGATGTCATTTTGCGGGATCCACTAACTTTCTTCACGGCACCCCACGGCACAATCGAAGATTGAATGATATCGAATTGAATTATTCGAATCAGTCGGACCGCGGCGAGCATGTGGAGGCGTCCACTGCGTCTCTCAGGTCAAGATGACAAGATGAGCTACATGTACGAGTACTGTACAAGATGACACCCGCCGATGCCGTAGAGGTACGCTGTTTGTCAGCGGTACCAGGTACCATGGTATTTGCCTCCAAGTGTTCAATGGTGCTGATGAAGTGCGCATCCAGCGTTGGTTGCATCAGAGCGGTGCTTTAAAAAACTAACCTTGAGAGTATCTGCAGTCACCTCATCCTGGAATCTTGCTTGATACCGGTATCCGGTATCAGCTCCTCCAAGGCTGTCTGCTTGCTTGTTTCCTTAGATCTTGGTATGGTCTCTTTCAAGCTCTTTCAAAAGCTCTTTCAAGCCTGGTTATCTGTGAACTGTGAACTACTTTTCAGGCAAGAGTGACTCTAGTACTTTTTTACTGGAACAGTTTCCATCTGCTACCAAAGTTTCAATCAAGAAAACACCTTGCTTGGGCCGTCGTTGCGGCTCTGATGGAACTTGTGTTTGTGTTGGGTAGGCAACCTTAATTTTTTGCAAGTGTTGATCCTTACCCCAGTACTTCTTGCGTATTTCCTAGATCATTTTACCGTTTCTGGACACTCCCTGCACAAGCTTCAGTGTTGTATTGATTGAGACCTTGAAGCTCTACTAACGGTACCGGGTACTACCTCGTGTGATGCTGGCATGGTGTTTCGTCTCCCGGAGACGATTTGCTTTTAGGGGTAAGGGTACCGATGGGGAGTGGAGGTTTGAATTATACCCCGCGTGCATTACTTAGAGGCCTCTGTAGAAGTCTACGTATTCGACTAGTATTGTATTGACGGGATACAGTCAACGCATGTACATGCACATGAAAGTCGCCTCGCTTTTCACACAAGTTTCGCATGAATGAGCTCGAGCCAGGATCGGGGCGAAGCAAAAAGAAAGGGATGAGCGCGCGGAGCGCGCGAATACCGGTAATCCTCAACCTTATTTCTGGAAACGGAGACGACCCAGTGGGCATATGAATCCATCGTGGCTCAAAGATATAAGCCAGTTAAGCCAATCAAATGTGCGCGCAGGGGGACCGAATGCTTTTAGAAGTCACATAGCGCCCCCTCCAAAAACTCTTCGGTACTTAGAGCAACATCGCCTATCTCTTCCGACACCGCCATCCTCACCCGAAAAGTATCGGTGATTGATGAGAGGTTGTGAAGGGTTCCCACCACCGTCCTTCGACAGAGCTTTCTCACAAAAAGACCAACAACGACGACGATGACTTCAATCTTCAGTATTGCATCGGTTGCCAACCCATCAAGCCATGGAGATCATGGTGTCGTTAGTACCATGACGAACCGCCATCTGGCTGAGGAGAACAACAAGCTCAAAGAACAGGTCGCCGAAGGAAAACGGAAGATTCAGACACTGGCAAAGAAGCTCTCTGCCGCGAATGCCGATGTCGCTAGGAGTGTCCAGAGCGTAGCTGTATATGATACTCTAGAGGGAAAATACAACCAATGCATCAAAGAGCGCAACGAAGCGAGGTCCGAGTTGGCAAAAGCACACCAAGAGGAGCAGGATCTATGCTGGATGGTGGCCAAGCTTCAAGAACAGATGACGCAGATGGAGAAGACTCATAGCCTTCAAATGGAAACTAGCCGTGAAAAGAGTGAAGCCCTCAAGGACTTGCTGGAGAGTGTATCGGCTCAGGCATCGGAATTGACCGCCAGCAAAGAAGCTGTCGAGTCCGAGCTCAAGGCTACCCAGTCCAAAGCCCAGACTCTGCAGGATAATCTCACAGAATCAAAGAACACGCAGAGAAAATTGCTTGAGGATGTGAAGCAACTTTCCGCAGAAAAGGTCGAGATGAGTAAGAAAATTTCCATCTTGGGGGCCAACATCCAGGCGAACGAGCAGCACCGAAAGCAAATGGAAGCGAAGAGCGCCACACTGGCCTACGAGAGAAACACTCTCAGCCGAGAGCTCAACAAGGCAAATATGGAGTACAAGAAGCTGTTTGCCACCAAGCAGTCTCTTGCTACAACAGCAGGAGAGCGTAGCCAGACAATTGAAGCTATGCGGAAATCGATTCAGGCCAAAGATTCTGAGAACGTGCGTGTTGTTTCCGAGTTGGATATGGTCTCTCATTCTCACGATATGGCACTCTTGGAAATTGATGCCTTGAAGAAGGCTTTGAATGATACAGTCAAGACCTTGGAAAAGAAGGAGGTCGAAGCCAAGACGACTCAAGAACAACTCGAGTCAGAGATCATGAAGCTTTCGGAACAAAAGGGTAGCTTGGACATGGAACTGGAGTCTTCCCGCCAGGAGGTGTCCAGTCTCAAGGACTGTGTTGCAGATCGCGAGGAGAAAATCAAGCAAGAACAAGAGAAGCTAGCTGCGTTGGGCTGCTCAGAGAAGATTCAAGTGCTAAGTGGAGTTGGAAAGATTTCCTTCACCGAAAGTCACTTCTGAGCTCTAGCCAGCACTCAGGTCGTATGCTTGCTGATACGGTACCAAGTATTCATTTAGTTTTAGTCGATACAATAGCTACATAGATGTTGCATTAAAAATGTTACTTATCTCAAACTTTCTAGTATCGCGTAGTCTGCAGGAAGCCATGCAACATTCGTAGAGTTGCAGGTGGCTGTTTCCTGCGACGATTCAATGCCATCATAGTGCTGGTTTGGGCAAGATAAGGCTTTAGCGCGCTGGTATTGACCACAGCGATGCTGACCGCTACCGCTGGCATTCTGTACTGGGGTCTAGAGTGTATGGAGGAGGTACCGTCCTACAGTCCCGTGACCTCATGCTCCTCGACTTTTATACAGGTCGAATCACCACGCAAGTAATGTCATCCACTTTCTCTTCATCTACAATGGGCAGGTCTCCTACCCATTTTCGCCTGGCCTCTGCGGCGAGCGATTTACAGGCATGCTGCATGTTTTGGGAGTGTTCCAGTACCAACCGAGCGACGGCATCATTGGGCAAAACGTCCCAAATCCCATCGGTAGCCAACACTAGGAAACTATTACTGTTGCTGATTGTTGGTGCTGGAAATGTCTTGACAATGGGAGTTGGAACGACGCCTGCCCTCAACATGACGGCGTTTCCCAAGGACCGTGTCATGGCAATTCCAACGGGTCCATAAAAGACATTAGTCCCTCGAATGGATCCTTCTCCCGCTTCGATTCGTTCTCTCTCGGTGTCAACCTTGACAGTTGTCTCTACAGACAGTGGCTCTACGGAGTGTTGCGAATTGTTGCTGTTATCATTCATAACCTGAATCACACGAGAATCTCCGACATGAGCTACGTGCATCATGTTGTCTTGATGATCCCAAAGAATCGTGACACAGGTAGCCCCATTGCGACCAGCAGGAACTTGCGTGTCTTGCGTGGCAGCCCAATGAACGCTGTGAAAGGCCCGAATCATGGCTTGATGATGTATTGGTTCTGTTTCGTGGTAGAGCAGTTCTTGTTGGGACAATCCACTCTGCGCTTTCAATTTGGCTTCCAATTCGGTGTAATCTATTGGTGTTGTCGCAGTAGTGTCAAAATCCGAGCCTGTTGGGGTTTGTACTATTGTCAGAGTTTCTCCCAACAAGTCTTGCAAATGGGATTGCAGATGGTACGGCAGTTGTTGCGCCAAAAATTGGGACACGATATGACCTTTGAGGCCGTGTCCATCGAGTACCCCCACACAGGTGTAAAGGCGGTTGTTGCTGGTCGCCAAGGTGGCATGAAAGAGAGCATCTTGGTTCACCTTTTGTGGTCGCATTGGGTCTGATCCAACCTGGGAAATGGATCCGACTTCAATCAGATCTTGCTGCTGTTGTGCCGATGAGAGGTATAGAGATCCATGGCGATGACGATGGCAACGAAAACTATCCGCTGCATTGTTGGCATTCTGGAACGCCACGATGGGGTGGCCTGTGGCTGGAAGGAATGCAACAACACAACCTGTACTATCAAGAATGATCAAAGCAGATATCAAAGCTATGCATAGCCATGACCAACAGATCAGTCTACTGGGAAGGCTCATCGTCATCAACAACTTAGAATTGTCTGGGCTGGTACTACTGGAGCTGGTGCTGGGTTTCGTCGATCCTCTCCACAAGAGCAGCACTCGAGCTTGGTTGACACCATCATCGTTGCTCTTGTCTCCTTGCTTGCTCTTGAAGATTTTCGAAAGTGACGTTTTTCTGATGATAGAGTTAGGGGTCATTTTTTCAAAGATATTCCGCACACGACTGAGGGAAGCATTGTCTCTCAGAAGCATCCTCGAGCTGTCCGAAAAGCAACACAATCAGGATGCAAAGGACATCTCAAAGGACCCAGCGGTTGTTCCGATGTAGACAAGGAAGCCGTATAATGGAAGCCCTGCTTCCTTTTGTATACACTGCTTCCCTCTTCGTTCTTTCCGCTGCCCCATTCCATTCCTTTGCCAATCCTCCAACTTCACACTTATCATACTTTGCCGAGGCATCCACCATGAGTCAAAGACCACGTTGGAACCCTCGCCGTCGCCACGGTGGCAAACGGGGGGTATCCCTGTTCTTGGTCTTGACTCTCTTCCTGGGACTACACATTGAAATTTTAAAGTGGGAGATTGCTAACTTTGTCTTGAACAATGATAACTTTAACCAACTCCTCCAACACAACTTTCTCTCCGGTTACAACAACTTGCAAATTCTGCGACAGTTACAGAGCAGCAAGTCAAGAGCTCTGGTACAAGACGTGGAAAGTATGGATATTGTGCCTGTCAATGCGTTTCATTTTGGGTTCTTTGACAATCTCTATGGCGCACCCACACAGGAAGAATACGAGGGACTGCTGTGTCAGACCAAGGCATTCTATCTCGATATCTTTCAACTCAAACTGGGTAGTTTCATCTACGTCAATCTCTACTCTGCCAATTGGACATATGCACCTGATCAGCAAGAACCCATCAGTCACACAGTGGTGGTACATGCCACCTTTGAAGACGGCGTGCCGTTGCCACCAGAAGAAGTCAATCAGGCGGTACGAGCCAGTAGCATGGCACACTTTATAGAAAAGTTTGTCTGGGCTGCCGAACCACGAGGGCAAAACGACGAACGAGGCGCGTTCTACGATACCAACACGGTCACGGCCGAGGTAGGTCTTTACGAACGACAATATCAACGAGAAAACCTCGAGATTGGCAACATTGTTTTAGGATCCAGCTTGACGTGTCCAGCCAATGGCTATTACGAAGCTACGTTGGAACTGGGGTTCTTTCCTGGGCATAGTCGAAAGCCCACCAATCAAGAGATTCAAGATCTTATACCCTTATCCGAAAAGTTCTTTACCCGTACCTTGCAATCCACATACACCACCCGACAGGTGAGTGTCCAACTGGAACTCATGGGCTGGCAGTTTGATGATTCCAACAACAACCAGCTGCCCTTGAGTATCACCTTTCATCTTTCGGGAACTTTTGACTATGGTGGAGGTGATGTCGTTCCCTTGGAATACATAAAGGAAAAGCTGGCACACGACAAGCCACTCAAGGAAACCATCATGCAAGATTACATCAAAGAGGCAGCTTGGGAGGTCCCTCCCTTTAAGGAATCCACCTTTTGGGATGTCAATCGCGCACGAATGAACAGCAAGCTCTTTCGATACAAGCCCAAACGTGACGATGCCAATGGAATTGGAGGTGATTCCACCGGACCTGCCAGTGGTAACAATGGTGGACAACAACCGCAGCAATCGAATGGGTTTGGTGGACCGGGGGGGTTGGGATTTCCCGGTGGCAGCAGCGGCAGTGCCGGGCCAGGCGGATCCTTTCCACTCAGAGCGGGGTCGTTTGATCTGCTTGGCGACAACAATGCCACAGATCCAAACGACCCCACGAGAACTACTGTGTTTAACATGGCCCTCCAGCCCTTGACCATACCCGACGACGAGTGCCGTGAGCATCTGAGCAATGCCAATGCTGATTTGGATCGATTTCTGACTACTGACGAGTATGCTACGTTTGTAAACTCCATGACAAACGATTTTTACGCAGGATATCCGTACGCGGCTCTTCCGGATGTTTTTCTGGGCGTTTTCGAAGACATGTCGCTGAGGAACGAAGCAGGGCAGGAAGCCATTGACCTCTTGGGGGCTTTCGAACCGGACATATCACAAGAAAACCTCAACCTCCTTGAAAAGACCAGGGCCAACAAGATATGCAAATATATCAAGTCGTCGGCAAACACAGCCATTGCACAAGCCCCCGTGATGTCCACCAAGCTCAACTCCACTGTTGGTTTCTATTTGGGCTACCAGCAAGCAGATCCAGCTGCGGAGGGCCCCGATATGTCCGGGCTGGACACAGGCTTCCAAAACTTCGTTGGAGATATGGTTGGGCCGGCGGTTCAGGCGACTATGACAGAGGGACTTCGAAAGAATCGTCGGGAGTTGACAAGGCGGGAACTCGCGCTACAAGCACTCCGGCGCCATCTTCAGGACGGAGAAGCTGCTTTCGTCATGCCGAGCAGTGCCAAGATGACTTCGGTAGAAGAGACAGAGTGCCGAGGACCTGACGCGGGTGATCCCGAAATGTCATGCTACAATGCCGAGGCTGGGTTGGACGTCTTCCTGAAAGGGAACGAAGCTCCAAGTATGGCCCCAGAAGTTGGCAGCATGGTAGAAGATACAATGGAAGAGTCCATCGTCAATGGGGACTTGCAAGCAGAACTACAAAAGATCGATCCAAACTGGAGAGTTCGCACGTTGCACGCGCCAACCGCCGCGCCTTCTGTTGCCCCTTCGGCTAGCCCAAGTGCAACCACGCCAGCTCCCACAGAAGCTCCCAAAAAGAGCTTTGCTCAAAGCCTCACAGAAGATAGTGCTGGTGTCGCCACTGCAGCAACAGGTGCTGTGATTTTGATGATTGCGATACAATGTGGTAGAGAGTTCTTGATAGATTTGTTTATCAAGCTATGTAAGATGTGTTGCGTTTGCCTTACGGGTAGACGTCGAGATGACGACGACGACGAGGAAGAGACAGAGTATGCATCGCGTGGTGACCCGTCGGGTGAATTCGACGAAACTGTATTCAGTGGTCAAAAGCCTGGCGAGGAAGATCATAACGACTCGGATGAGGGGTCAGAGGAGGGTTCACAGGAGGACGAGTCGTCTTCTGAGGCAACCGCATCATCGGAAATGCAGTCTTCGGCCGCTTCGACCGCTGAAAGTGATGACGACGAAGACGATGACGAAGAAGAGAGCGAAGAGGACGAAGAAGAAGAAGAAGAAGAGGACGAAGAAGACAGTTCAGATTCTGAGGAAGATACAGAAGGAGCACAAGCCGAGGAGGCCTCACAACTTGAGGACACGGACACCTCAGAAGCAGAGGAGACTGAAGCCGAGGACACTGAAGACAACAGGACTGAAGACAACAGGGCAGAAGAAACAGACCATGCTGACAACCCTGATGATTCTGAGACCGGACCACAACCATCAGACCAAAAAGGGGGCGACGATGGCGATGAACCCAAGTTTTCATCCAGGAGCCTTGGCGACACGCAAGCAGAGGGTGGGGCGGAACCAGATGACAGCAATGATTATGCGAGCAACAAAGCTGCTGCTCTGGCTGCGACAGTGGCTGCAGGTGCTGGTGTTGCAGTGGCTGTGACATATGCCTCAGCTAGAGAAGGAGAAGACAACTCTGATGACGAGAAACAAATGAACTCACTCCAAGGTGAACTGCCCAAGGCTCAAGAGGATGCCAGCCAAACCGAATACAGAGAATCAGAAAATGCTGAAGCTGGTGCCAAGAAGGGACATGGAGCTAAAGTAGAAGACAGCGTCGACGAAGCAGAGGTTGATGCTGCTGACAAGACAAGTGATGGCGGGTTGGGCCCTGATGACATCGCTATGTCAGGAGAGATTGATACTTCACAAGCTGAGGACAAGGAAGACAGCAGGGCAAAGGAAATTGACCAGGTTGAGATCACCGATAACTCTGCCAAAGAAGTGGATGAAACAAGCGTCCAAGAGGCTACAGGGCCAGAAGCTTCGGACAATGAGGGGAGCGATGATGGGGGGCCCGAGGTTTCGTCGAGGAGCCTTGGCGAAATACCAGCAGTAGGCGAGGCAGAACCGGACGAGGCCGATGAAAGCAATGACAATTCAACTGGCAGTGATGACTATGCAAGCAAGAAGGCTGCTGCCCTTGCTGCTGCAGTGACTGTGGGAGCTGGTGCCGCAGCAGCTGTGACATACGCCTCAGTTCGAGAAAGAGAAGAGGACCCTGATCACCAGCAGCAATTGAACTCAGTTGACGTAGAACCCCTCAAGGCGCAAGCTGACGAAAGCAGTCAAACCGAACACGTTGAGCCGGATAGCACTGAACCAGCTGTCAACAAAGAACATGGAGATCAAGCTGAAGGAACCAAAGATGAGGTATCGTCTATTGCAGATCGTGCTGATACTGTGGACAACCAAAATGATGGAGGTTTTGGGCCTGATGATATAATCCTGCCAGATGGGCCTCGAAATGAGCAAAGTCATCAAGAGGGTGAACACAGCCAAACTTCTTTGAACGAGGCTGCCAAGGGCAATGACGAAGTCTCGCCACACGATGGAAAGGTTGAATCGAGTGAAGAAGAGGTTGAAATTGACGAAACAAGCAATACTGAAAGAAGACAGGAGGAACCAATGAAGCTGGAAGGGCAGAAAGACGAAGATGAAACCAGTGTTGTCAGCAGTGTAGTGGGACCGGCAGATGCATCAAGATTCAGCTGGATGGGAATTGGTGCACTTGATCCTGGCAAATCCCAAGAAGCGCCACCGGAGACTGTTGACCAGAACGCAGGAGACGATGACACAAGCGTCTTGGGAACTAGCGCTGTTGAGTCAGCAGACAGAGCCAAAAGCAACGTTGGTGAGGACGCAAGTAGCACTGCTGAAGGAGAGCAGGCTGTACCAGAACATCATGCGGAGGGCGACCACTCCAGTGTTGTCAGCAGTGTTGTGGGAGCAGCCGATACATCAAGGTTCAGCTGGATGGGAATAGGCGCACTGGACGCTGGAACCTCGCAACCAGCTCCACCAGAGACCATTGAAAGCAATGCGAGGGATGATGACGCAAGTGTCTTGGGAAGCAGTGCTGTGGAGCCATCAGAGAGGGCAAGAAGAAGTGTTGATGGTGGAGATGCAAGTAGCACAGAAGCAGAAACGGAGGGTGCAGTAAATGACGAAGGCGATGACACCAGTGTTGTTAGCAGTGTGGTGGGAGAATCAAACCCAAGGCTTAGCTGGTTTGGGTTGCCAAAAAAGTTGCAAGGCAACCATCAATAGCTCCTCAATTCTTTGAAAGCAACGCGTGTTCATCATGATGCAATGGTGCGCCCTCGTCGCCGTCGTGGCTGCTAGGACAGTTGTCTGTCGAGACAAGTCACTATTCCAAGAAGCAGTGCCAAACATGCAGGGATGGACCCCTCGTCTCGCAGCTTGCACTGCGATCGTTGGAAACGTCTTTCGTTTTACTCGCAGCCAGAATTCTGCATCTACCAGAATAGTCTACAGTTGTGTAAAGATGGGCTAGCTAGCTATCATGGCAGTGGAAGTGAACGCTATGCATCATGCAGTAGGTTTTTCGTGTGGAGGAGCCGTCTATTGCTTTCACTGCACGGTACAAAACCTGTTCCATTCGGCTTTCAAGAGTTCCAACTGATGCTTATTGTTGTTGTTTCCCTGGTGAGCGAAAACGGTGCAGCGATTTTTAGATATATTGAGCTATGCATTGAAAGACAAGACAGCAACCATCCACACAAGAAAGCAAACCACTTACAGGCAGTGTCAAAGGGAGGCTCGAAAAAGGCCAAGAAGTCATCAACCTTGGCCCTGTCGGCTTCGTCAGGCCGCTCCAGCAGGATCACAACACCATCACAGCCCCATTTCGGATCATTGGAGGAAACGGCCCCGACCATTGTATCAAAGTCAAAGCCACGGCATGGGATCATGCGTCGTTCATATTTTGCTCCAACAATCTTAACGGCTGTAATGCCAACGAGATTATCCCCAACTTTGACGTTGCCATTGCGTTCGGCATTGCCTCCCTCGACCAATTCTTGAACATACAATCCTTTGCCCACTTCAATTTCCTCAAAAACAATACCGAGAGGCCTGTCCAAATCCACTTCATAGACACCCTTGGGTAGGGAGAAAATCTCTGGAAAAGCCGCTTGGTCTTCCTCTGGAAAGGGAGACATCCATCTTTCAAAGCTAAGGTAGAAATTAAAGGGGCTCTTGCCAAAGTTCAGTCCGCGATTCCACAGAGAAGATGAGTCGAACTGAGCATGACAGGCTGTTGTCGATGGAATGCTCTTGGGGACGGATGGATTTGTAACAAAGGCTGTACTCAAATTTGCGGCTCCAGCCAGCAACGTAAGGATCGTCAGAATTGAACTCATGGTGTGTGCTGTCTGCTTGATTGTACGGTACGGGAGACCGGGATGTGAGACTGCGAAATTAGAATCTCTTTACTGTTTTTTGCACTCCACTGACAGGGTAGATTCGATTCAATCATTCACTCTATAGATAGCAATGGTCAACGCTTGCAGTGGCGCCATGGTGATGAATGAGTCAAAGCAAAATCCAAAGACCGAAGAGGTTGGTTGGGTTTGGGGGTACGTCAGTGACTGCAGCAATTCCTTCAGGGTTAGAGCTACAGCACCGGCACAGGTATGGCACGACTGCGCGCGCAGCGTGGGACTTCGGGATTGATCACTCTCTAGCTAGCTCTAGCTAGCAAGCACTCTGGACGGTTAAGTAAAAGTGGAAAAAGTTGGATTTTTGGGTAAACTGGACTTGAAGGTTCCCCAATCCTTAAACAAGTTGTCTACTTTTCACCCATGCTGAAAAGTGTTGAAAAGAGATTCATTATTGTTGAAAAACTGTTGAATAAGTGTTGAATCGTGTTGAAACCCTGTTGAATTACTGTTGAATCTATAGTCAGTGGAAGTGTGGAAGTTGTTGAATAAGTGTTGAATCCCTGTTGAAAAGTGTTAAATCTCTGTTGAAATAGTGTTTAAAGGAGATTCAACAGTGTTGAACCAATTTCAACAGTTTCAGTGCTGTTAAATCTAAAAGTTCAAAACTTCAACACTTTTCCTTTCGAAAACCCCATTTTCCCCAAAGTCAACTTTTACTTAACCGTCCTGGTGCTTGCCCGAACGTCCTCCAGCGACGAAAGTCCAAAGTTAATACCCTTGACACCTGACAACCAACCTCTATCATTGTTGATGCTATTCTTTAATACCCTTCGGGCTGGGGAAACAATCTGGGGAAGTTACAACATAAACATATCATAGAACAATTGCTAACACATATCGGTAGTAAAGATCTTTATAACAACAAAATCAGGTCTTCCTTCAGTATAGTGGCTGTAGTTGTAGTTGTAGTTCTAGCTCTAGAGTTCATAATCATAGTAGCATCCATTGCAGAGCAAGCCTGGATCCATGTATCATAAGTTGTCCCGGTTGTGTCCAAGTCACTTTGAACCTTTCAGCTCTCAGCACCGAGCAGGGAAGAAGAATGATTCAAACTTTCGGTAATGCAGTCGGGAAGTGGTGGCTCGGCTACTAGCTAGCTCCCCAGTTGAGCTTGAGTTCTAATTAAAATACTTTCATGTACTTCTCATGTACGTTTTCTACAACTGCTGGCGCCAACATGCAACATTCGGACATGGCATAGCACTTTTGCCTCTGCATCATTTAATATGAAGTTGCACATGTGAACACAGTACCGTGTATAGGCTTTAGCCAAGGGGACCTAATGGAACCTTCCGGGCCGATGGAACAAGCAAACGTCACTACAGTCGTCGTGTCGTTCCTTTCTCAGTGAAAGTTCACAAAATACAATGCATTGGGATCAATGGAAGGAACAGGCCGGACACATGGGATCTTGCACACCTTCCTGTTGATAAAGGGATATGTTTGAATGGTAGCATAGTGAAAGTTTCGCGGTGCCCGAATGTGCAATGCTGGATTCATGTATGGTTTCTCATAAACGGCAGCACTAGCCTGAAAGTGGATTACAGCAGCCAATGCACTGCCATACACGGTGGAAAGGCCCTCCACAACATCTGCAGTGGCTGAAGCGGAATAAAAGCGGAAATCTTCCATCCATTCCACAGTGTTCATGCGAAGTATGCGTAGGTGACCATTCGTATAGTCCACTCCACTGGGACGGGCAGGCTTCTCGGGAACCGTGTATCCCCAATGTTCCGAAGCTTCATGAGGGGAAAGAGAGACGGTCGGACGAGGCTCCTCTGCAGAGCGGGCTTCTTTGTCGTTGGAAGAGGGCGAAGAAATGGATTCTCCTGGAAGATTGACATCACCTTTATAGTGGGAAGAGATTGGGAGAATTCGATGAGTACGGGAGAGTGAGGTGGCGGGGAGTTTTGCCGAGTCAGAGGAGCTGTAACTGGTGGTGGCGTCTGCTTTCGCTGGCAGGATCTTCATGGTCCTGCTACGAATCCCATCCTTTACAAAGGCCACAGAAGACCCCACCAGGTCTCTACCAAGCACAAACAATCCCTGGCCACTGTGAGAGATCTTGGAGAGTTGCTCGTCTTGGCGTTTACAAATGACCTCGTTTTTGCTCTTTGGAGCGGGCTTGGTCATAGTTGACAAGGCGGATGCTCTCGAGTTCAATTGATTGATCTCTTGCAATTGAGATTCCAAACCGTCCTCGAACTGCCTATCAAGTGAAATCGTTGCTCGCTTGGACTCGCTTACTTCCAGGTCTTGGGCTGTGACTTTTGGATATGACTTTGTCTTGAAAGAAGTCACTGGCATGGTTTTGGATACCGAGCGAACATCAGGCTTGGATGTTGTCCAGGCAGCAGTTCTTGGCATTAGTGCTGCCAAAAGCACAAAAGTGAGAGAGTCAAATCCTCTCATTGTCAAGTTTTTCGTTTTGCTTCAGACTTCAGACCAAACAAACTCGTTGCGACTTGCAATCTACTGGGGGAAAAGAAATAAATGAGCTCTGCTCTGAAATAATGATGACCTTACATCAGCTGTCAGGAAGGACAGAAGCCGAAAGGAGAGGTCTCTTGCAACGAAAGAGAGTGGCAGGAGTGATGAACGCAGAAGATCCACTTCGGTATTGGCATCTCATTCGTTGATGCCGTTCAGAGGAGAAACCTTTGACGTTTTGTGTTCTTTCGGAAAGTTCTCTGGAAACCAAACCATTCTGAAGTCACCTTTCCTTTAAATCATTTCGCATGATGAGAAGCATTCTAAAGAACCTGTGGTACCAGGTACGTATCAATCCACGGCGCTGCTTTCTTTTTCAATTCTGACGTCATGATTTTCAAAGTTTGGAGCTTTCCCACCACCACAACCTCCCATGATCTATCTCAGGATTGATGAAGCCATCCGGTACCAGGTACATGCTGATCCTCTTGGATGGTGTCATCCTTGACGCGCTTTTATCAACTTGCTGCTTCTGCGTCCTGGCAAGGAACAAACACAAAATCTGCATCTTGCAGCTGGTGACATCCAAACATCCAAACCGGCTTGTTTGGCCAGAGCTCGAGGCGCGAGATGCAAGCCAGAAGTCCAAGATAAACTGCAAGATTCTGGGACTGCCAATGACCTCTACTAGGATCCTGCGTGCTGCTGAAGATATTCCATTCGAGCTCATGGCAATTGCTGGGCTTGGAGTGTCGCAGATGTGTTTGCCACCGGTGCAAACGACGACATGCCTCGAAGATGCTATTGTGTGGAACAAGATTCGATTCATTTCGGAGTCGAACATCTCAAAAGCCCCCACCAAGGCTACCACAAGCCCCCCCACCGTCCATTGAACGCCCCAGCCCAACTGCAGGACCCGCTTGACCAGAACTTGACGCGACTCTGGGATCCAGCTTTGTCCCGAACAACTGCACCTACCGGTACGGCACAGCTATGCATGGCCCGGCTCCATAACTTACACCAGGCCCGACTCCACCCCGTTTGCAACAATTGGTCCAACTTTAAGACCCCCTCGCCCAGCTCCAGGACCTATGCCCTACCCACCGTCTCCCAGCCCAAACTCCAATCCAGGCCGGAACAATCAGCAATACCATTCTAGGAAATAGCACCGGGACCAAAACCACGACCTGCACTCTGCCCGAAGCTCCAAGATCAACACCTCGAGCTGCACACGCAGCTCAAAAGTGTCGTTTCCTCCGAGGTTTACCTTGCGACTAACTAAGAAGAGAGTACGATACGAAACGGGCCGTCCTGTTGAAACTAAGGTAAATTAACGAAGTGCTACTCGACAGTGCTTTTTGATTGTTTGTTGAGTTGCGACCAACCAACCGCGTTGTGTTTTGAATACTCTGCCTGCCTTGAAGAAGATCTCTTTTGTTTTCTCTTGTCGTCGTCGCAGCTTGGAGGTCTTTATGAAGAAACCAGGACACATGAATCGTACTGTATGTAAGCACATAGTTGAAGGGTCCACAAGAGAGCACGTCCCTTCTTTAAAAACTAAATCTGAGAGTCAATCGATGATGATGATGATCCATTATTTCCTGAATGCACCCTTGTTTCCTCTTGCTTTCTCACAACATTGTGACAAAGTAGAGTGCATTTGGATCAATCACAGGAGTGGGACACACAAATGCCACCTTTCGAACGTTGTCATTAACAATGGGGAAGGTTCGAGTGGTGGCAAAAAAGAAATCTTGTGGTGCGGGAATGTGGTGCTTGGGTGGTTCGAATGACATCATGGCATGGGATTGAAACTGGACCACTTTGTCCAAGGCATCTTCGTAGGCGATATTGAATCCCTGTACCATTTCCGCCGTGGCCGACGATGTGTAACAGCGGGCACCTTCCAGCCACATTCCCGCCGTCTCTTGCAAGGTTTGCCAATGCACCATCATGTAATCCACTCCATTGGGATAGATGCGACTGTCGTAGGGACTCAATCCATAGTATTGCGAAGCCTCGACGGCCGAGAGAGAAATGGTGGGACGATCGCCACCGACCACTGGATGGGTGCCCAACGAGCCAACGGGACGAGTTCCCAAAAAGGATTCATCGGCAGGTCTGGTGGCCCGGGCAGGCCGGATGGCACGAGTAGCTGGTCGAGTAGCGGAATAAGTCAACTTGGGATCGTTTCGTTTCCAAAGTCCGTTCTTGACAAAGGACGCCGAGGAACCAACCAAGTCCTTGCCCAACTTGAAGAGGCCTTTGCCACTGCGCGAGATTTTGGCTCGTTCTTCCTGCGTGGTGCTTGGCTCAATATCCTTGACAGCTGACACGGATCCCTTCAATATCACCGAGAGTGCCTGGAAGAAACTCGTCGCTCCTGTGACCACTGCATCAGTTATCTCGGGCGAGATGTCGGTAGCATCGAATTTCCTCTGGACACTGCGGGTGGCTCGGGGCGCGATTGCCTTGGTGGATCGAACCTTGGATTTCGTGGGAGGCTTGTACCGGTCGAGAGAAATAGTGGCTCGATTGGACCTTTCCTGGATATTGGTGGTAGCCGATGATCGATATCCCAGAGCACGTCGTACAGTCTTTCGGACGGGTTGCGTCTTGGATACCTTGTGTGGGTTCCAAGCACACACAGCTGTGGGTGCACCCAAGAACGTCACCACAGAAACCACCAACAGATGATGCGCACTCAATATTACCTTCATGCTTCTTTTTGGAATGCTTATTTAAAAATGGCCGACAAACAGCAAACGAAAGAGTCAAGGCAACGCTTTACAGTCCAAGCTACCGCTAGCTAGCTAGGTAGAGGTAGAGCTTCAGTGAGAATTGGATCTTGATGTTTCTTCTTTCAGAGGATCTTCGCTTGAAGTGAGACAGCTGCTGGTTGCTGTTGGTGTCTTCGATGTGGCGATTGGCTGCTGCGTTGCTGTCTTTTGTTGGTGATTTGAAATGCGTCAGTTGGTGTCAGTCCTGTGTCAGGCGGAGAATTACTAATAAATCTTTCACGGTATTCAAAGCAAATACAGCCGTCAAGATCCAAGACCAAATCCAAACTGTTCCCAGTACAAGATCCATTTCTCAGATTCTCAGGAAGCATCAGGAAAAGCAAGAGGAAGATGACAAGAGCAGGTTTGAAGGGAGCGTCACGACATCATAGCATCACATACTAGTACATCTGGCCTGGGCGAGAACACAATTGAAGCCGGTTCTGCAAGAGTCCAAGTTCTTTGGCTTGGAGCCTCATTTTTCGTTGGAAGAAGTTTAGTACAAGATAGGTGATACCGTAGCCATGAAAGCATCCTCCAACGCCGGCAGTGGCGGCAGCAACAGTGGGCTTCCTCGCATGGACCTTCGCCCAATGACAGCCAAAACGCTTCGAACGGTGACGCCTCTCCGAGTGGCTGGTGTGTTGTTGGACCTCTTCTCTCGGGTGGGACAACGAAGTCCACCCAACCAGTCCAAAACAGAGCACATTCGCTTCATCTCCATCGCCGTCTCGAACTACAACGAAAAAGTAAGATGGGGACTCGATCTCCTCGAAAATCACCCAAAGAGTCCCGTCTATTACACAGAAGACATGCATCCACCCGCCTTTGCAGCCTTTCACAGTGTCCCGGCATCCAAAGATCAGTCGTCCCAAGCACCCATGGTGGTATTGCCTCTGCCCAAAGAAAGAGCCGTCTGGGGCAGTGACACCATTCTCCGAGAGATTTGCAGCGACCCCGAGACGGTCAATTTGTATCCTGCAGCCATTAAAGCCAAAGTCCAAGCATTGGAAGATGAATTGGGGACACGCCTAGGAGCTACGGCTCGGTGCTGGGGTTACTCCATTCTGTTTGACAAGTCCAAAAAACACTATGCCACTGCCTCCAAGTTTCTCACCTTGCAATGCCCTCGCATTGAGCAACTGGTCTTTGATCGAATGATGGACCGAGGTCTCGCCAAAGGCATGGTCCGTGCCATGAAGGTGACGGAGTTTGCGGATGCCTCCGAGCACGAAATTCGAAAGGTCTTTGACGAAATGTCGCAAGCATTAGAAGCGGCTGGTGGTGACTACTTGATGGGCTCGGAATACGGCTTTACGGCCGCGGATCTGACGCTCGGGGCCCTCTCGTACTTTATTATTCGTCCACCCGAAATGACACCCTTTCTGCTGCCAGAGTCGGAAACACCTCCAGTCATGCTCCGATTGGGCGAGGAACTGAGGGAAACACTGGCTGGAAAATATGTGCTTAAAATGTACCAACAGAACCGACCAATTGATTCTCAGACGGGGGTGATTGACCTCAAAAAGGTGGACCAGAACCGTGTTCCGTGGAAAGAAGCGGTAGGCGCAGTCACCATTCTAGGGTCCATTGTATATGGAATCATCCTGTCTGCCACAAAAGCATAGATTATCAGCCGCGTTCCATGGAGTGCCTGATTCACGAGAGCTTAGCGCCCCTTCAAAAGATAGGGTACCGGTAACTGAAGTCTTCCATTGTCCCTACACCTTGCTAGCTTCGTGAGCCATATTAAGAGCCTTAGCAAGTTGTGTTTGCTGCCGAAGTTCGCGATCAGCACTTTCATGTGGCCTATGGCTTTACAAAACATGCTGCGGATGATCACTAGACATGCATCCTGCCTCATGCATGTGCCAGCTAGCTAGAGGTTACCAGGTACCTACAGTCTAAAAACTAGTTCAGCACGAATGCGGTGTTGGAAAATTGCGAAAGGTCTATGGGCACTCTGATTGTCCGAAGATTTCACGAGCGACTAAAGTGATCGTGAGAACAGCCAAGAAGATTGTGCACGACTTGAAAGCGTCTGACGTCACCGCAGGCTTTCAAAGGCTGCAACAGATCGACAGTGAGACTTCCCGCAGCCCGTTTTTGATTGTTTCACCCCCATCTAGAGCTACCAGTCTGGTACTCTACTACCGGTAGCTAGTAGCCATCTCCCTGCTACCGGTATCGTCACCATCATCGAATACGTTCATATTTCAAGCCTTCAAACATTCTCAATCCTTCACCAAAGGCATCTAAAGTTACCTCAACGATCGAATCATTCCAAAATGACAACCGCCGTTGCTGAAAATGGGTCTGCCGCCACTTTGTCGCCCATGAACATGAAGCCGACGACTGAAACCCAGATCCAAGGTCAGGCGCCTCTTCGGGTGGCAAGGGTCATTGTGAACCTCTTTTCTCGAGTTGGAAAGCGTGAGCCTCCTGCTCCCGAGAAAACTGAGCATATCCGTCTGATTTCGATTGCCACGTCTCATTTTGTCGAGAAGGCGAGGTGGGGATTGGACATGCTCGAGGAGAGCAAAGAGAGTCCTCTGTTCTACACCGAGGACCTCCACACACCCGCATTTGCGTCATTCTTCACTGTCCCAGCATCGAAGAACAAAGCATCTCAGACTCCCATGATTGTTCGAAGCGACGACACCGTAATGTGGGGCAGTGATACAATTTTGCGAGAGCTCTGCAGTGGCAAAAATGGTGCGCCAATCAATCTTTATCCAGGCGATCTAAAGGATGAGATCATGGAGCTTGAAGATGAGCTAGGAAGGCGTCTTGGTGCCAGTGGCCGTTGCTACGCGTACGGATCCTTCATGCTTGACAAGCAGTACTATGGCTTGGCTATCCAGCAGACGACCAGCAACTGCTCCAAAGTCGAGCAGAAGGTTTTCGAGAAGATGTTTGATAAGGGAATCGACAAAGCACTGATTGATCTGATGAACATCAACGACGAAGTGATGGAGACATCTGCCCGAGAGCTGCGCGCAATGTTTGGAGAGCTCTCTGATCGCCTCGAAAGGACCGGCGACGAGTACCTGGTGGGTAATACATTCACTGCGGCTGACCTAGCTTTTGCTACTCTGGTCTACTTCATTGTTCGCCCTCCGGAGTGCGAGCCACTCCTGATTCCCGAAAAGGGAATGCCCCCAAAGCTTCTGGGACTCTTCCATGAACTAGCAGCCACCAAAGCGGGCCAACACGCCTTGAAAATCTACAAGAAGCACAGGCCTGTTGACGCAGCGGGGAAGCTTGTTCTGAAGAATGTCAACCAGAATCACAATCCTTTCAAGCTGTTTTAAAAGGAATTGTGCTCTTGCGCTCACATCTTTTCTACATGTAAATAAGCTCTTTTAATAGTTTATGTTTTGAGACCTTTCTTTACTCAAAGGACTGCTTTGGTCTTCTGAGCTACTGCGTGTGTCCCCTCTACAGGTCTCCTCCAAAGCACATCCACACAACACAGCAGGCAGACGATTGATTAGACTGGGGAAGAGTTCATCCATGCAGAGGGGAACATGCTGTCAGGGATGACAATGTAGTGCCGAAAGGCCTCCTCTAGAAACATGTCTGTGGTGTAGGGCCGATCTGAGAAGCGAATAGCCATCCTGGGTATGTCAGATAGTTTGATCCTCTTTGAAATGGACTTTTCTCCTCTCATGATATCATTCTTTTCCTTTTCTTTTGGTGGACGGTCCAGGCTGACTGTATAAAGAGTTGTGCCGTTAACATCTCTGCGTCGGAGCACATCACATGGCCAGAATTCATAGGAGTTTGGGCGAGTGATTCTGACTACATGGGCTGTATTGAAGAGAGTCTGATTTATTCGTTTCCAGATGTTGGAGTCACATTCAACCTTGATGTTGTCAGGGTATGGGTTGTGCAGTTGCTCAAAATCTGTCCGGACAAAGGTGGTGCTCTCTTCTTGATTCAACATGAATGCAGACACATAATCTTCTGCCCCCACAATGTTCCAACCTTCCACGTGCTCTTGCCAAGCCCTTTCCCAGGCATCACCATAGTCCAGAAAGATTTCCTCATCCTTCTCTATATCCTGGATAGCAACAAGTTCCATGGCCAACTTGGATGTGCTGGCATCGGCAAAGCTGTTGATTGTTTTTGTCAGAAGATTGGGCTCATGCTCCCCTCTCTCAGGATCACCCCAGACGAGCTTAACATTCGCCCTTGTCTGATTGTGATTCACCATGTTTGCCAGTGGTGAATATGGGCATAGCAGCATTGTTGAGTTCTGATGTCCATAGCAGTAGTTCATAAGAAGTTGATAGCCAACTCTTCTCCTGTCTCCGAGTCTCTTGGTGTTGATGTCTTCCAAGTCATACATTTCCAGCACACTCTTGTTGATGATTGGAATCAAGGGCAATGCTGAAACGACTGTTCCCTTGGGCAAATCACGAGTAGCAAATGCACCCCTTCCTGCCTGTTTGATAGTGGAAACACCTTCCCGAATATGGTCTGCACAGGTCCCATGTTCATGCAGCCATCCCGTTGTTTGCATGCTTTCCATGACACGGATCTTTTTGAGTGTCATGTTCTTTTCCAGCAGTGCCCGTTCTGATACTGTATTGGAGAATGCTCCCAATATTCGAGACTCTTTCCAAACACAATGCTGCACAAATTCGTCCCAAAGCTCCTCAAATACCTCGCGATTTACAAGTTGGTGTCTCCCACGCAACACTTGAAACCTCCTATAGAAATCTGTAGACTCCATGAGGCCATGCCGAAGTGGGATGGGACCTAGTTCAGGTCGAAGCTCAAACCTAAGACAACAGTGCAGAACAACCATGAAAACACCACCACCAACAACAAAGGGAACCAAGGGAACCAATATGTGATAAACATTGGCATACCAGTGCTGACCATAGTTTGCAAACAGTTCTTGTCCTGCCTTAATTTTCACCTTGGCAGTTGCCTGGCGGTCATGGTACGTGGAAAATGCCCCCACCCCAGGATCCTTGGACCGATGCAAACCACTGGGTACTGTATTCTTGGGATCGCCTTCATCTACATTCACCAGATCCAAGAAACAGTTCACAGCTGCCCCAAAGCCTAAATAAATGTCAAAGCGTTGTGTAGGATAGACACGGCGTGATGAGTAGAACTTGGATAGACTGCTGCTCGGCCTTGATTGACCTACCAGGGGAAGCTGCGCTGCATTCGTGATGTACTTCATGCCCGAGCCCTGAAGATAAATAAGAAGATAAGAAATTGATTTTTTGGCGTTCACAACTGCCGGCACAGAAACGTGCCAAACATACCCAGGCTCTTGCCATTCCAAGTGTACTCATCCCAGAGAAATTCAAACATACCCCGCCCTCTCTGGTGCATCATAATATCAACAATGGGAATGACGACATCTCCTGTTTGCTGCAGTGTCTCTTTCTTGGCAAAGTCTCGACCAGCATACATTCCTAATCCAGCCCCATGCAAACTGGAGGGAGCCAACCAGAGACCGCACTCATCGAGGTGAGTTTTACTCGCCAGCGAGGAACAGTTGCTTTCAGAACTTCCACACACGCTGCTGCTTTTTCGGATACGGTTTGCGCTCACCAGAAGGAGGTACCGGTAAGTGGACGCAATGAGTAGTATCGTGGCGACGTTGTTTGCCACGGAACACGTTCGTCGAAAGACCATGTCTTTGGGCGCTATGGCAAGCTAGTGTTGCCGGAGGATTGTCCGTTCAATCCAACGAGTTGTTGGCAAGACAGAGGATCTAGATCGTCTACGCTAGATGGACGAACATGGGCAAATGGGCTTCCATCAACTACCAAAAATGCTTCGAAGAGCTCTTTCGAAGCTTGTTGAGAGTTTCAAACCAAACATTCCGGGTGATTCTCAAATCGAAGAAAGATCCCACTTGCTTTCTCGGAGGGAAAACAATGCGAAACACATGATTGAAAAGAAGGATGATCAATCTACAAGCTGGTTTTAGCTCTGGTGCGCTTCATTTGTTTGGTCCAATGAATCGAATCACTAATTAATTGCCAAAAGGGACACATTTCGTGGTAAGTCCATGTAGCCACGTACTATCAGTGTCTGAGAGACACCATCCTGTAGCTACCAAAGCGAACCCCTCACACATGGATCAAGGCGGGGTGTACCGGTATTCTACACTGTACTAGTACTCCACTATGTGTACCGGTCATGGTACATGCACATGTACGGAAGCCGGCGGGGCGCCGGGCTCATCAAGCAAAGAGGCAGACAAAGAGGCGGACTTCGGGACAGCGAAAGGATGGACTGGAGGCTCCCAGACCACCGGTATTAGTCTAATGATATTCGAACAGTTTCACAGGCGCCTGCGAGCTATGTCATACCGGTACACCTCTACCAGCACAGTTCCATTAGCTATCACAGACGAGGATTGCCCCACCATCAGAACCACTGGCTCCAAGAAGCCACTGGCATAAAAACAGATGCGGGTGCCAAATAACTTTCATGCTCGCCTCTAGCCAGCTACCAACAACGCAAGTACAGCTATTTGTTTCAAGGTTCAGACAACGATAGAGACGGGATGGCGAAGCCAACCCATCTGCTGATTGAGAGGCAGGCCCACAACTGGAGCGGACTGAGCCTTTTTTGCTTCCATGGTCTATAGATTCATCCAATACTCTGGAAACATTTCATCAGGTATCATCATGGCATGCCGAAAGGCATTAGGCAAAAACATGTCCGTGGTGTATGGATTGTCCAAAAACTTGAAAGCTTCTTTTGGGGCATCTGTGAGCTTCTCATTCTTGTTTTCATCTACTCTGGCCACGGCCGTGTAGCGCATTTGATTGTTGACTACTCGAAATCTCAATATTTCACAGGGGACCCATTCTGATGTGTGGTAATCAAGCACTGTAATCTCCCCAGTTTGCTGGAAGTGATCATAGTCAATGGAGCGGAAGAATTTGATGTCACAGCGCAATTGAACATTCTCAGGGTATGGCCTATCCATTTGTTCAAACTCAGTCAGAAGTCGTTCCGATGAGCTGTCTAATTGATAGGCAGAGATATAGTCCGCAGCTCTTGGATGTGGTTCCCAGCTTTGCACATGTTGTTGCCAAGCAGCTTCCCAATCATCACCTTTAGTTGTGAGGGAGACAGCAATGAGCTACAGTGAAAAGACAGAGTGTGACGCTAGAGGCCGCAATTGAGATGCTGCTGACATACCATAGTCAAGGAATATCTCTTCTCCTGAGAAATAGAGATGAGTGTGAGATGCGGCATCATCGAGAGACCATTCACATCACCAATCATATCCTCTGCACCTACCTGGTTGAATATCCCGCAAAGCTATCAGCTCCATGGCAAGCTTGGCTGTTTTATCAAAGGCGAAGTGCTCTACTAGTCTCTCCAGAAGCTCTGGCTCGTGGTTTCCTTTGGCAGCATCAGCCCAGCGTAGTTTCACATTTGCTTGCGTTTGGTTGTGGTTTATCAGACTGGTCAATGGCCCGTACGGGCAAAGCAGAAGAGAAGACTCTCGATGCCCAAAGCAGTAGTTCAAAGTAAGTTGCGCTCCATTCGTAACATTCTCTGTCTTCAAAGTGCGAATGTCCTCAAACTCCAGCATATCCAAGATACTCGCATCACCAATATGAATTAAGGGCAATGGGGCAATCACAGAGTCCTTTACAAGGCGTCTTGTGGCAAAGGCTCCTCTCCCAGCTTGACGGATTGTTGACTCGCCTTCCACCATGTTGTCAGCGCATGTCCCATGTTCGCGGAGCCATTCATCGGTGCGGAGACCTTCCAAAATGCGGATCTCTTTCAAGGTCTTGAGTTGGTGCAACAGGCGCCATTCCTCTTCGGTCTTGCGGAAAGCAGCAAGAGATCTGGAATCGTCAAAGTCGGTTTTCTCAACAAAGCTTACCCATAAGTCTCCAAATGGTTCATCGCGTAGTTTATGATGCTTTTGCCGCATTTCCAGAAAGCGTTTGAATACGCTGGTGGCAGTATCTAGATCTCCTAGCAACGGCACAGGTCCAAAATGCTTGCGATCTCGGAACCTAGTTGGAACCATCAAGAATTAGAGACTTTCAGTTCCATCCAAATGAAGGCAAGCCGGTGGTGCGCCTTCTAACGTGGATGTCTGTGGCTGTCAGCACGTACCACTAGAAGGATAGTAGCAAAGTAAAAACAGCCGTTGTGAGCTGGGAGAGTTTCAGGAGCATAACAAACCACCACCATCCGTAACGATTTAGACTTACTTGTTGTCCGTAATCGACAAAGAGTTCCTCTCCCTTTTGAATATCGACAGACGCTGTGGACTGCCGATCATGGTAGGTTGAGAAAGCCCCAGCACCTGGATCTCTGGATCGATGCAAACCATGTGGAATACTGTGCCTTGGCCGTAACTCATCTACGTTGACCAGATCAATAAAAGAGTTTGCAGCTGAGCCCTGTTTGCGATAGAATGACGTTCAGAGGGAACGAGGATTTCAGCCGACACTGATTTATTTGTTCCGAAGTTGACTGCAAGTAGATTATTGATTGACTTACAAACCCTGGGCTCGCAACCTTTACTTCAACATAGCCTAGATGGTCCATGTGCAGTCCTGTCTGTTTTACATTGCAGCACAAGGATTTGATTCATTTGTGTGAGTATTGCATTTTGCATAATTCCGATATTCCGATTGCCATTCTGCGGATTGATGCATGTTCTTCCTTCAAATGAATGATTGATTCGATTTTCATAGACTCACCGCACTCCAGGTATATTCATCCCACAGCATAAAAAACTGATCACCCAATGCGTATTGATGATGATTTATATCAATCATTGGAATGACAATTTCTCCCGATGGCTGCAATTCTTCTCCTTTTTTGAAATCTCTTCCAGCATACATCCCTAGACCAGCTCCAGGGATACTGCTGGGCGCCAACCAAATCCCACATTCTTCCAGGTTGGATGGCGGAAGACAAGTGCCATCGCTGTCGGGATTCTTGCAGGTGGGTTCATCTTGCTCTGCTTTCTTCTCGCCAGTGCCCGTTTCTTCGGATGCATCCACGTTGGCATTCTCAGTTTGAATAGTCTCTTGGTTCACATTTACGTCTCCACATACTATGATGCTGGCTGATAACAGGGCCAAAAGCAGATACCTCAGGTGGAGAATACTGGTCATTGGTCTTGCCTTGGCTGGGAAGTCAACAATGTCGGTTATTCAATGCTACCCCGAAAATAGACCTTCTCTGATCTTTGCTAGCTTTTAAAATGAGCGCTTCCTTTCCTGAGCCCTCGAAGATAACAGATACCGATTCCTACTAAGTGTAAATGGTTTTGCTTCTGTCTTATGTAGGTTCTTTGTTTTGTGTCTCCAGATGTTGAAGAGGAGGCTACCAAAAAGCAAAAGAGTGACGAGCCTGCAAAAGATCGAGGTCCAGTCGTTCCTTGATCGGAACTGCAACGGTCAAGACGAGAGAAAAATCTGGATTTTCCAAGCAAGCGCAAGCCGGTCGCATGTCATCGTGGAAAATTGCTGATGACTGACCACGGTACCCCGTAAGCTCGTCAAGACAGCTCCATGATAAAGTAGTACTAGTACCACCTTGCTTGGTGGGGGAATAGGACCAGGAACAGGTAGGTGTTGGAAACTAAAAATGGATGCTGTAGATGCAAACCATTCCTTGGAGGTTTTTGTCTCTACTGAACCACAATGGATTTGAGTAATCGGGAGCGAAAATGGGCCTCCAACATCAAGGCTGCCGCACAAGCGGCCGAGGACATTGATACTTCCATGATACCTGACATGGACTTTGCCCTTTACGCCTTTGTAGACCACAACAATGTAGCACAAGCCCTGGATAGAATACGGGGAATCCAAACATTCCGTGAACTGTATCAGCTGGATGACTCTGTGGACCAAGCAATCGAGATCCTGAGAGCATTCGTCAAGAAACAGCCAGGCCACTGCCTGGATATTGATACCTCCCCCGACACCCAAGAAGGGATAATCATTCTAGATCTGGCCTCCTTTCAGGTGGACCGCGTATTTGCGTCTTCCCCAGCCGACTGCGCCCGTACATCTAGAAACTGGGAGATTCATGTGGTAGCGATCTACTATTTGATGAGGGCTTTGCAGCCGTGCCTCGAGTCCGCAAGAGAGGGGACATACATGATTCTGGAATGCGAGGGGTTTCAAGCAGCCAGTCAATTGGCTCGGTTTGCGATTTGTCTAAACGATGAGCTTTGTGCCCACTTTGCCTACTTCTTCAAAAAGATACAATGCTACCATACAGGATGCTTTGCCAACTTGTTTTTCAGCATGCTCAAGTCAGTGACACGCAACAAGGACTGGGATTTGCTCCAACTGGGATGCAGGATAGAGGATGAGTTTGACAGTGTCAACGTTGCCGCCACAACCCACACTTTGAGAGAACTCTATCTTCAACCCTCTGTCGAGGAAGCACACAAGCACTTCCTGAAGCGAGTGGGGGAGTTGCTCGCCCAAAGGAGATCGAATGCCCTGGCATTCCGATTATGAAAGAATGGGCTGCTGGAAAGCGGTCGCTCTTTGTGTATGGGCGTACTAGTCAGCACATGAGATTCCATTCTTTTCTCCAGGCATAGACGGTGCGGTCGCCACCTGACCAAGCTTGTGGGGAAGTGAACACCAGCTAATGATTTGGTTTGTGCCCGTAGGGTGCATTGTTCAGGGCATACCTTTCTTCACCGGCGGCATGCACGCCACCGAAGCAGCAGCATCACAATTCACCGATCGAACCATCCCGGAAAAAGAAAGTGGCCGCAATGTCAGGTGTCAGGCACCATTCGAATGCAAGAGCCCAGTTCGCGGCAATACCGCTAGTAGTGGCACGGACACGGGGCAGAGAAGAGGCCCCCGAAGCACAGAAGATGGATCGATCTGATGCAAGAGTCATGAGCCCGGGGGTAGTGTCAACCCCTTCAACGGCAATCCCCAAAGCATAAAGAACGCAAACATCTTATTTCAGGCAGTTGAGAACGTCACGATGCATGACTTCGTTTTTATAGAGTAAAACTCGATCAAACTACAAAGCAAAGGGAGATCATAACATTGACACGACATATGGTATCGCTGGCAGCTGCCCTAAGGAATGTGCCCTGTCTCAACCCAATCTATAATGCACTTGATGTCAGTGTGTGTACTTGAGTGTTCTTACCATGGACGACAAAACAGGGGAGCTGGTTTCCAACCAGCGAGATGTCCGACTTAGGGTCCATAGCTGTGTGTGGAAGCAGCCTTCGTCTGGCCAACCAGCCAGATGTTCCTGACACTTCGCAACAATGACACACAGGAGAGTAATAAATGGTAAATGGAACGATCCCCTTCTAGAAGCAAGCTACCAGGTACCGGTAGCTAGAGGCATTGCACATAAGGCAGACTATTTATTATTTTCAAACTAGTTTGGGAAAGAGCAAAAACGGTCCGTCTTTGCCATGAAGATGGACCGTAATTGCTCCAGCATTCATAGTCCCAAGCCGAGGTACCAGTACAAGATGTCGTACGGTAGTAGCAACTAGCTTTGATTTGGAATGATGCTTGGGACTGCTCAGAAGGAAAGTTCAAGGGATCAGTAGGGTGCGTGATGTTGGCAGTAGGGAAGAGCTGATTCAGTGCTTCCAATTGGAACCAAATCCATGCGATTCTTGACGGATCAAAGCACAGGCCAGGCAAAACACACTCGTCTCGAAAGAATTACTGCTTTCGCTTTATAATATCAATTCCTTCCTTCGCAAATCGAAGTATTTTCTCTTCAAACTGCTCCACCTCAGATCCACGATAGTCAAGTTCTTTGAAGTAGGGCCTAACCGGGGGTTTTGGGTGGTAGCAGCCATGGAGCCAATAGTAGCTAGCTCTGCCTTCCACAGCATACTCTGTGTTAGGATTGCTACCCACGAACTTAACCCCCTTCTGCCATACCTTGAACAAATCTGACTCTTTGGACAACTTGGCAATATTTCTATGAAAGAAGAGTGGATCTCCTTTGGGCGAGTGCTGGACCATTGTGATTCCACATACTTTGTCATGGCTGATCCATTTCAGGACCACATCCCTTCCAGCCAGGCCTGGAGGCTCCTTTATGTAATGAAACGGAGTAGAGGTCATGTAGTATGCCAGACGAAACAAATCCTTGTCACCCCAGACCAGCACCAGGGGCTCCAACCAATCCCCAAACGTTTTGGCGAGATATAGTAACGCATGGAGAGCAGCAACACTCTTTCTGCGATCAATGACCATTTGTCCTGATTCCATTTCCATTTCAATGTGTGGTGTTGCATTGTCATCATCTGTGGGAATTCCCAACAATTCCCACACCAGAGAATCGTGTGTCATGATGTAGTCATTGCGACGTGTGTTCCAGAAATCTTTCCAAAACATGGCACTATTCGCTTGAAACTCGGGCGTCTCAAAGAGAAAAGTCGGGTCCTGGAATGGAAAATTGTCGCTGTCAAGAAACAGTATTTGATCAAAATTGCTGTAGGCAATGGCATATGGCTTTGACATGTACGAATTACTTTCTGCGCCCATGTCGGTAGCCGCAATGGTTCGAATTTCAATGTGGTCAAAGTTTCCAACTATGTGTCTCACCAGTGGATCTGTATCCCTGATTTCTCCTTCCATATGCCATAATTCTATGGGCAATTGGCAGTTGTGTTCATGTCTCAGTAGCTTGATGATTGTAAAGACACTTGGAAGACAGGAGGGATATATCTGCAAGAGAATGCCACGCTTAGGCCTTCTTTCAGATGGTGTCATGGGTAGGTCCCGTTTTGGTTTATATTGTCGTATTTGATGTTGATAATTCAAAAAGTCCACAGCTTGTTCACATCGGAAGGCTGGTGCAAAATGCCTGCTTTTTGGATAAGGCAAATCTGTTGTCCCATGATAACAGGATTTTCGGAAGGCTCGGATGGTACGACCTGTCTTGGCAGAGACAAGTTCACAATATCCAGACGATCCAAAACTTGGGACATAGTCGGAGCAAGACAAGTCTGTGTCGGTAAAGAAGGATTGGATGGATTGTGACAAGAGAGGTCCATCGGGACTGCATTGTCCAGTCGCGCGCCAAGCAACACAATTCGCTTCTTCGTTGGTCAGAAGCAAGGTTCTGTTTGGGTGAGATTGGAGCTTTTTGTTGGAAAATTGATGCTTGAGCCCACTATTGGCTCCTCCCCGGTATAATAAATTCAGCAGCAGGGGCAGGAGGATAGTTGAAAGGATCAAGGCGACAACCAGTAGAAACACTCTATCCACCGATAGAAGCACCCGTAGTTTATCAGTCAATTCTCGCCCCTCCCATGAAAGCCGACGTCCCCTTTCTACGGCAGCTGTTTTTATTTTTCCGAAGAAGGAATGCCCAAACACTTGCCACTTGCCGTGTTTGGATTTGCCCTGTGGATCCATGGTGGCCGTGATGAAGATTTGCTTCTGCAAATTGAGCTAGATACTATTAGCTAGTCTCAGTCCGAGACCGGTGGCCTGTAATTGAAGGAACTGGAAGAAGGACGCTGTCTTCAGCCGTCGACCATGTTATGGAGGAAGGAAGATGGAAGCGCCAATAGCAAAGAACGAGTTCTTGCCTCCTTCTTGTGCCGATCTTTTCCCCTGTTGGTCTCTCTTGTCTCTCTGCTCATTGCGCGAATGGGGCTGGATGCCGGATTTGGAAGACTGTTTCCACGATCATGATCCACGTTTGCACACCACGACAACGTACATGAAAAGGACTTGTCTCACTACGATGTATCGTACAGTACCAGGAACCGGAGGCTGTAGAAGACGTAACATTTTTGAAGTTGATTAGATGAACTTTCCGACTTCTTGTACCGATCTTTCTTGTTTTTAAGTTTGGTCTCCTTGCTGGTCGTCTCTTTGTTGCCGGGTTCGGTACCGTAAGGATTGATATTCCACGATCGCTACGCGTTGTCGCCGACCACGACAACAAAACGGCAACCAACCTCCCATCACTAGCTAGCTTTAGCCGTCTACTCTTAGTGTAGCTGATAAGATGAACCAGTACCGTAGTTTGGTTGGTTTGGGTATCTCTTGTATTCAGGAAACAGCAAACCTGGCTGCCACCACGCAAAAACGAAGCTAGCTTTGAATATCCTACGCGTTCAAGCAATTCCTTACAGCACCTAGCGCTAGCGAGAGATTTCTGTTGGCATCCTCCAAGTAAGTTGGATGGCTAAAAGGCCCATTTAGAAGAGAATTATTGTTGATTTCCTTCGCTTCAGTCATCATGTGATGTTTTGGTGTGGATTTGGTCCATTATCAGAGCAGATTTGTTGCGTTTGGGAAAGAGAAGATATCTCAGGAGAGGGAAGAGAATCATGGCAAAGCCGGTCAAGGCTGCCACAGCACGCAGAGCAGACATCGCGACGTTCCCGTAGTCCTCCCATCGATTCATGACAGCTGCTTCTCGTTCAATGATGAGATCTGGTTGAATCCCAATGTTCAGCTGGCGTTTGTTGTTCATTGTGCTCTTCTCCCTATTGGCATCATACAGGCACTGCTGAAAGACCACATGTTCACAGGCATTCCCATCAGAAGTAAAGTACTTGGGATCTAGTGTCCATCCTTTTGTGTTTCCTTTGAATTCCTGCAACTGATGCAGCTTGTCGTTAGGGCTTTCACGAGGTGAAGAACCCAGCCAGCGACTAGAAAAGATTCGATGCTCTGCTGCATCTTGATTGTTGGCTTGTTCCACCTTCAAATTAATTGTATCCCGATCATAGTCACATTCCGGAGTCGCCCATGTATCAAAGTCATACAGAGCAACACCTCCAAAACAGGATTGCATATGGAACATCTGATCCTGCTTCCTAGGATTTTCCAATCTCTGGAGAATATCCTTCAAGAAGAGCGTCTGGCTAAATTTGAGTTGTTCACGAGCATCGAGTGTGTACAGTGTGTAGCCCCAGGTTCCATCATCGAGAACAGTTGCAAAGGTGTCATAGTAAAGGGAATTCCGAAACCAGCCATTGGCAATATTCCAGTTTTCAATCCCAATGGCACATACAACACTCCCAACAGCACTGGCTCTGTTGTCGGCGACACCTTCCATGGCATCGAGCAACGGTACAATGGGTGGTAGAGTAACAACATCCATGTCCACATTGACTACCACATCATAACCATTGTGCCCTTTGGATGCTTCCAAAATTTGACGTCGTTGCTCCGACCGAAGCATTGCCAGCCGTTTATATCGATTGAATCCCTTGAATTGTGTCAGGAACTGATCCTTATTCTCCCCTTCCCTTTTTGTCCACAATTCATCTTCGGACTGAAAATATGTGTGGCAATCATAGTTTTCCAAAAATTGCCTCAGACTGGATTCTGGATCTCCCTGGCTCACATTCTTTGACTTGTAGAGCATTCGGACATCGACAGTGCTATGAGTATTGGATTCATTGAATGCCCAGCACAGACCTGCAATGGCCTCAATGGTCTTGCTGCTGAGTGTGAGATTGTCGTGATCGGTATTGAAAAATTCCTCCATTTTCTCAACCATCCCCACAATAAGGATTCTTCTGGATGTCTTGATGCTTCCTATAGACACTCTCAGCTGCTTATCCTCTTCCTCTTTGGACAGCCGGACGGTCGAAACAAGCTTCCATATTTCTTGCAAGTCTTTTTTGGTAGCTCCAGCGGTAATGACAGGCCAAAGCCAAACCAACAACGCCCCCAAGAAAACAAATGCAAATAACCCGACGGGACTCCGTCGTTGGAGAAACCGAGCGGCCATGCCGAGATGAGAAGAGCACACCGTCCCATTATTTTTTGTGCTGTTTTTCGGTGGTGGAAGGAGTGGCACCTGTCCACTCATCTTGGGACTTGATCCTCCTGAGCTTGGGAGTCGAGGACGGTGAGAAAGTTGCTGTTGCGATGTCGATGATGCCGAATCGGTGGATGGTGAAATGGCTATTGCCGATGCTGTGGATGCAATCCTTTCCCTCACATGTTGGCTATCGGTGGATGCGAACATGATAATGGTCCTGTTTGTACGAGAAGCAACTAATATGGGTCTTCTTTGTTTGATTTGCAAGCTCCCGAGCAACTTTGATTGTTGCTGCTTTGCAAAGTCATTTGGCTGACGGGTTCTTCTTTTGTTTGTAACACCAAGCGACCAAGCAACACTCAACGTTGCTGCTTCATATTTTTGACGGGAGCACTACCTACCGGCACACAGTACATCGTACTGTCGTCTGTGCCAAAGACCCCGATTTTTGGCATGAAGGTTTCGCAAGTTTCCATGCCCAGCCCCATCCCTATCGTATCATGACTCCATCGTACAGCGTGGATTCCAGCGTGGAATCCAGCGTGGCATCCAGAGTGGAAACCAGCGTGGAAGCCATGCGAAAAGCGCACAAACCCACAACAACAAGACAATACGGGCCATTCCGCCCCATTTGTTGTCTCTGCTGATGGTCTCCTTGGCGCCAAAGCTCAGGCAATCACCAAACTTATCTCCTCTTTACTCAAAGCAAAGTGGTCCTGCCCTTACTCAGTGGTATGTAGCTAAGTTAATGCTTGGCTCGGCCTGGCCACTCTTCGGGCCCGCCCCCTTTGCAAATGGTTGGCCCTCGTGTCCCTGCTGTCACAATGAGCTACTGTCGTTCCCTCTGGGATGACAATGGTGCGCTTGCCCTCTTCCGCAAATCTTGCTCCCCTCTTGCTCCTTCCCAACTTCCCCTATGCCTGAAGGGAGCACCATTGAGGCTATCTAGCTACAACAACACGTGCGGTAAGTGAAAGGGGTCAAAACTGACAATACGTTGTTTTAAAAAGTCTGTAAGAGGGTGCCGTACTGGCATCAGCAAAACCAGAGGTGCTTTACATTCAATCATCTTGAGGCTCGAGGGCCACAAGAATCTCGATATAGGAAGAAAGGAATCAACGGGTGGTTATATACAATGTATCATCCTTTCTTGGGGTCGTCGTTGGAGACTGATGTCGCCCCCTTCCTGTACACTTTCGTCCGTGCTTGTTAAAGTTATATACATATGTTCAGCACAAGGACACGACGACGATGTTTTATGGACAGTGAGGAAAGGGGCAACCAAGCTTCGTAGCGGGCGCGACATACTTCGGACGCCAAGAGTCAGCGCAGCGTTTCGCACACATGCGGTGTATCATAGAACAAGTGGAGGAGTGTTTAGTGGAACAGGCCAGAGGAGCCAAACGAGGTTCAGCCAAGGCCAACCTTGGTTTCTTGGTGGGAAGCCCACCAGTGCTTGCCCTCAAGCCTCCTTTGGCGGACATTGTGGTTTCCAACGTCGAAGACAGGCACGGAAGGGACATGGAGCGGAGCAGACCTGTGCAATTTTTGCGCTTGTTGAATTTGAGGCGCAAACGCTCGGTTCGTTGAGCAATCTCAGAAAGCCTGAGATCATCCTGGTCGTGCTCTTTGTCCAAGCAACAAGACCATTCTAACCGAGGAAACAAATCGCTGTCGATGATCGCAATGCCGGTTTGGATGCTTTCATCTGCCAGGTTCTCTAGAAGTGACAGCGAGACATCGTCGATGCGATTTGTCTTTTCCAGGGCTTCAGTTGCGGGCAAGCCAAAGGTTCTGTCATTGTTGCACAGGTCTGGTCGGGTCACCATCATTAGTGGTTTTTGGAGGCGCTGAAGAGCGGATTGTGATTTGTGAGCTCAACAGAAACAGAATGCCTCTGGAGACTCGACTCTTGACTCGACTCTTGAGCGTGGCACTCGAGCCAAAGGCCGAGGAATCGAATCGAATCAATCAATTTTGAACTCAGAATTGCGCGAGCTGTTGCGAGAGTAGAGCCGTATCGCCGTACGTATCTTCCACCGCCAGTAAAAGATCGTGATGAACGCAATGCGAAGTCATGTGCATTTTGAGGGCAATAGCCTGTTCCTCCGTTTTGTCTTGTTAAATCAGTACTTGTCATGGGCATTAAAGGGTAACTTACAGAGAACACATGGCCAGAAGCGTTCTTTTAAGAAAGCGAAGACGCAATTTTTTGTCAGAGCTTTTAATTATTATTGGATTCTCCTAACAGGTGACTGTTAGAAGGAGTTCTCTTTTAGATTGGCAAGTCTGTTTGTAATCCGAACACAAAGAACTCTTTGGGATTTAACAATCTTGCAGTATGACAGTTGGGACAGGTTTGGATGATTAGACTCTCCTCAACAGCCACTTGGTACAAAAGCTGTACGAAAGGATGCACCGTGAACTTCCCTGAAGCCGCTGGAGTGTGACACCGGTACGGCACCGTACATGTCCGATTCTATCCAGCTAGTAAGCCGCAGCAGTGCCACAGTACAGTAGCAGTTGTATGGTAGTACGGGTACGTAGCTTGTGAGATCTATTTATTTATGTTTCATCTGATGAAGATCTTCTGTTCCTCGGACACCTCTTTCACAAAACTCAAACTTACGCACCCGGAGAATTTGAAGAACGCTTCGTTGGACGAAGGGATGAGCGCTGGATGAAGAGACCCTCTGCTTCCATGTCTTCATCATCTGATCCCTTTCAGGTCATCGCAAGCTACCCAGCTCTGGTACATGTAGATCTCAAGGGCTGAAGCAGGGTTCTGGAGTTGGGCCGAAGACTGCATTGCATAGCTATTGCATTTGGAAAAAGAAGCAATACATTCCAATTGCTTTCCACACCCAGAGGAGAATGCAAATTGTTTTGCAAAGGAATCTTGGAAAAGCTCTGCGGAGTTAGAGCATCCTTCCGCACACAAAGGCTTGATGTTCTCTGCCCCATCAACTCTGGGTCGCTCTTCAGAGAAGCAAGCACCCTTCCCACTTCCTCCTCCTCTTGCTTGTGCTTGCTCCGCATCAATATCCGCACCGGATCCAGATCCATTGCCTCGCTGGGGCTCCTCAGAATGATAGCTTGAGAGGAGAAGTCGTTCCTTGATTCATCAATTTTAAAATTACTCCTCAGTGATTTCTGGGTTATGGGTCTGGTACAGGGCTCTGTGGCAGTTACCCCACTCTAGCTAGGCAGCTCGAATAGATCTTCATGTACCTGGTACCGGTACCAACCAACTACGAGCGGTACGGGTATGCTTTGCTTTAAAGGTAACATGCGTGAAGTGCCGGTAGGCCACCATGGTACCCTGGGAGCTTCACTCTGAAAAGAGCAGGACTTGGTAATGTGGACGAACTTCTCAGCAACCGCTGTACCGGAAACGCAATACGAGGACGAGCCTGTTGGCAGAAAATCCATGTTGCGCGCAGCGCAACAAGATGCGCGACGAGCTCCGCTTCGCGGAGAAGGAGACACCCAACTCCACCAACACCGCTCTGCTCTGTAAATCCATGTCGTAAATCCATGTCAATCCACACAATCCTGGTCGTATCCTGGTAGCCCAGCATTGCGCATATGCAGCAGCAGCAGCACAGCATCGGCATGACAGCTTTCGATCTAAAGCTTCCATTCAAGAGAGGAATCGTATACGGTCAACAGCAACAACAGTACTGATGCTATCAGTAACAGCAGTGCGATTTTGCTTTCAGGTCAAGAGAGCTCTTGGTTGCAGGTGTCCCATCTCCGCATTTTCAACCCTTTTTTGTAGTACTGGTCTACATACTAGTACCCCACACCTACCTTTTTCCAGCCGAACTGGGAAAAAGTTGGTCTCTAATTGAGATGGATGACATCATCCCACCTACCGTACCGACACGATTTCAATAGTTGCCGTTGTTCGTTGTTGCTGTTCTTGCTCCCTTTGTTGCCCCCCTCTCTCCTTAACGTATCTATTTAGTATTTGTTTTCTTCTCCCCTTGTTGCCGGTCCCTGTTGTTGTTGAGCTATCATGTTGTTTGTGGTTACTGTATAAGCTTGTGGGAGTTTTTGAGAGAAATCCAGGCTTGGTCGACAAGAGTGGTGGTACCGGTAGAGGGTTGACTCTATGACTCAAGCCGATCGATCGATCGATCGATTCGAGGTAAGCCTATTATCAAGAGTGTTATTGAAGTACTATCGGTATCCAAGCCGATCGATCGATTGATCGATTGAATCATTCGTGGTAAGCCTACGTGTATTATCAAGAGTGTTATTGAAGGTGCAGATTCGAAAGCCATCCCTCATTTATTTCGATGGACCGGGGGAAGGCACTAAAATCTCGGCCGTCAACAGGTGAGTTTGCTTGCTCTATTCGATGGAAGGATTCAACGCTGTACCTCTGCTACGGTATCAAAACTCACTCAAGCCGACCGTCTAGACTCTGCGTTTTAAAAATCAGAAAAATCTAAATCAGGCTCTCCGTTACATCATGACTTTTTGGGATTCCCCCCTCAGTCACTAGTGGCTCATAACTAGGATCTGTATTGTAGACTTAGGGTTAGGGCTAATATTTCACGTGCATCTACGTACACCCAGTACTGAAAATGCTCTCTGTTAAATCAGAACTTTTCCTAATTCCCCCCTCCTGTTATAACCCAGAGTCGACTGTACCAAGGCATGATGTTCTCTGCACTCTGCACCATTCAACTCCTGGAAGACAACTTTGGAGTTCAGGTAGTTGGGGTAAATTATAGTTTTTTACAAAAATGTGGAGTAAAACGTAACTGTAACCCTATAGTTACCGCAACTACTCTTCTACACCTGTCTTCCAGGGTTAGGATTGGCTGCCTCCAGTTTTGACAAGGTGGGATGCCGAAAACAGAGCCCATCCGTTGCTTGGAGTGTAGAGTGCCCATTCCCACTTGATAAGTCAGCGGGAGCTGCGATACCTCGGCAGAAAGACAAATAGAAGAAAGAGGATCGTGTTTGAGATTGCATCCTTCTTTCAAGGTAGCCCTGGTGACAACACCCGACTTCGTCGTGTGTTGCCGCCCGGTATCATTCCCTCATTATAACCTTCTTTTTTATTTAAGCTAGCCCTGGCGACAACACCCGACTTCGTCGTGTGTTGCCGCCCACTATCATTCCCTCATTGTAATGTTTTATATTAAGTTAGCATTGTCGTTACCATGGGCTAACCCTTAATTTACAGCTATCATTCGATCGTGTAACTCTAAATTTACAACACCTGCTGGCTTATTGTGTTTTTGTCCTGAGTGCACTAACCTTAAATTACATTGATATATTCCTACCCCTAACTTTTATTGCACCTTCAATTTCCAGTTTTGCCAGCTTACATTATCTCTATCCTTATACCCTGGCTTCGCCGGAATAGGGGATCCCACAGACAGGAAATGAGGAGGATCCCACAAACACAAAATGAGGGGATCCCACAGACAAAAACCAGGGGGATCCCACAGACAGAATATTTGCCATTTAAGTCAGCGGGAGCTGCGATACCTCGGCAGAAAGACAGATAGAAGAAGAAGGATCATGTTCGAGGTTGCACCCATCTTTCAAGCTAGCCCTGGTGACAACCCCCGACTACGTCGTGTGTTGCCGCCCTGTATGATTCATTCCCTCATTGCAACCTTCTTTTTATTAAGCTAGCCCTGGCGACAACACCCGACTCGACTACGTCGTGTGTTGCCGCCCGCTACTCTATAATTTACCAGCTGCCATTCCCTTATTGTAACTCTAACATTTACAGCTCCTGCTGGCTTATTGTGCTGTTGTGCTGATTGCACTAACCTTAAATATTAATGATTTATTCCTACCCCTAACTTGTATTGAACCATCAATGTTCAGTTTTGTTGGCTTATGACCATCTCTATCCTTATACTTTGGCTTCATCGGAATAGGATAAGTCAGCGGGAGCTGCGATACTTCGGCAGAAAGACAGATAGAAGAAGGATGACATGTTTGAGATTACACCCTTCTTTCAAGGTAACCCTGGCGACAACACCCGACTTCGTCGTGTGTTGCCGCCCGGTATCATTCCCTCATTATAACCTTCTTTTTTACTTTAGCTAGCCCTGGCGAAGTCGTGTGTTGCCGCCCGCTAACCATAATTTTACAGCTGTCACTCAGATGGCACGTATATACCTGTAACTTTTGTAGCTTCTGCTGGCTTATTGTGTTGAGTGCACTAATCTTGAATAACCATGATTTATTCCTACCCCTAAATTTGTAGAACCTTCAATTTCCAGTTTTGTTGGCTTATGACTATCTCTATCCTTATACTTTGGCTTCACCGGAATAGCATTTAAGGGGTTGAGAACTCAGGCAGTTTACCTGCCGAGGTAATAGGAAATAGGAAATAGGTAGAGGGCTCAGGCAGATAGACTGCCGAGGTAAAGGGGTAGAGGACTCAGGCAGTTAACCTGCCGAGGTAATGTTTCTCCTCATCTTTCATCCCATTGAGGCATCCAAATAAGCTCTCCTCGAGAGCCGGAGAAGTGGTTCTTTGATTGCCCTATAGCAACTCTACTAGCTATCTAGCTAGGCAGCTCGAATAGCTACCGGCACTGACTACATGTACTTCTACTCCTAGCTAGAGCTACCGGTAGCTAGCAAGTTGCGCATGCATAAAGTACCGGTAACGTACGAGGACAGTACCACCGCTGGGAGCTTCTGTCTGAAAGAGCAGGACTTGTACCGGTACAGTCGTACCCGTGGACGAACTTCTCAGCAACGCCAGCCACACACGGTACCGGTACTACATTTCTGCAACAGTAGTTGCACAGGGTCAGTATGTGCTTCACACTACTACTTAGTGGAT